ATAAATTTGATAGACTGTAAGTGATACAGGCCCCACGCAGGACAACTTGGAGGGGCCATCAGATTTAGAGCTCCTGTGGGACTGGCTGAGACCTTTTTTAGGTCTACACTGCTGCCTGTCTCCTCCCTCTGCCTGACCCTGCTTTCTTAACCCCTTTCCACAGGTGTTGATCCTAGGAACACTCCTGAATGAATACCCTGCATGCTAATCTCCATTTCAGGGGTCACTTCCTGGGGAACCTAACCTGTAACAATGATGGTGGTGATTCTGATGGTGGTGATGCTGCTGGTGCTGCTGGTGCTGGTGATGTTGATGGTGATGATGGTGAGTGTTTTAGTGTTCAGGCTGCCATAACAAAATACCACAGACTGCATGGCTTACACAGCACAGCAGAAATTCATTTTCTCAATTCTGGATGCTTGAAAGTCCAAGATCCATGTTCTGGCAGGTTTGATTTCTGGTGAGGGTCCACTTCCTGGCATGTAGATGGTTGCTTGGGCTTCGCATGGCTTTGAATGAGAGCTGAGAGACCTCTTCCTGTAAAACCACCAGCCTTATCAGATTAGGACCCTACTTTTATGACCTTATTTAACCATAATTACCTCCTAAAGACCTTGTCTCCAAATATAGACACATTGGGGGGTTAGCACTTCAATATATGAGTCTTGGGGAAACACAATTCAGTTCACAGCAATGATTGATGACAACAATGACAATCAAAGTGGTAGTGATAATGACGATGGTGATGATGATGGTGGTGATGATGATGGTGATGATGATATTGATGGTGTTGATGGTGGTGGTGGTGATGGCAATGATAGTGGTGGTGGTGATGATGGTGTGGTGATGCAGGTGGTGGTGATGATGGTGTGGTGATGCTGCTGGTGATGATGATGGTGTGGTGATGCAGGTGGTGATGATGATGGTGTGGTGATGCAGGTGGTGATGATGATGGTGTGGTGATGCTGCTGGTGATGATGTGTGGTGATGCAGGTGGTGGTGATGATGGTGTGGTGATGCAGGTGGTGATGATGATGGTGTGGTGATGCTGCTGGTGATGATGGCTAACATTTATTGAGCACTACTACATGCCTGGCACTCTGCTTTTTTCACTTTATATGGAATAATTTATTTAACCCTCACAAACATCCTGTGGCTTAGGAACTAGTATTTTCCTGATTTTTCAGAGGGGGAAACTGAGGTTCAGAGAAGTAAAGTACCTGTCTAAGGTCACACGGAGAGATTGTGGCAGAGCTGGGACCAGAACTTGAGCTCTCAAGTCTTTGCCTGCAGTTGTTCCCCAATGTCCTGTGTTCCTGCTCAAAGAGGCCAGTGACACAGGCTGCACAGTGGGGTAGTGTTTAAGTAGAGCGGGTGTTCAGCCCAGTTTCCCCACTGGGGCTTCCTTTGACCCATTGGTCTGAGGCCCCTAGTAAGGATGGGAGGTCCCTGAAAACTCCTTGGCACCAGCAGCTCCAGGGTAATAAGGGTTGTTCTTATCCAGGGGGCCTTTTGGAGTTATTCTGGGAGTTGGGTTTCTCTGAGGTGAGGCCAGGGGCTGGAGTGTCTAACATGCCATTTCCAAAGATAGCTGGTGGTGGTGGTGGTAGTATTCAGACTGGACCTGGGCAGTAGCTGTGCCCTGAGGTTGACCAAGCGCTGTGGGGATAGCTTGTCTGTCAAGCCATGACTGACAGAAGTCACGTCTCCTATGTGGATGCAGCCAGGCCATGGGTTTGCATAATTTTGGAGTCTTTAGTGTGAGGGTTGGTTTCATGCCAAAACACCATAGGTTGGAAGCCTTGAGTTATTGTATTTTAAGAATAGTAATGGGAGTAGTAGTAACAATAGTACTAGTAGCAATAGTACTATTAGTAACAATAGTTACTATTAGTAATGGTAACAGTAATACCAGCACTAACAGTAATAGTGATAGCAGCAGTAGAAATGATAACAGAGTAGCAGGAAGCACAGCACTTAGGCTCTGGATCAGAAAGCCCTGGGCTAAAATCCTGCCTCTACCACTTTCCAACTGGGTGGAAATTGCTTTACCTTTAAGTTTCTTCATCTGTAAAATGGGATATTCATAGTATTTTAGGGTTTCTATGAAGAGTAAATGAGCTAATCTATGTAAAACACCCAGCAACAGTGCCTCATATGTAGTCAGGGCTGAAGTGTTACTCATAACAACAACTGCCATAACAATAATTAACTCTTTTTATGTGCCATATGCTTTACATGTATTATCTCATTTAATCCTCATGTGCACCTGACTAGGTGGATACTATTACTGTTCCCATTTTGCAGATGAATAAACTGAGGCTTGGGGAGGTCGAGTCTCTTGTTCAAGGTCACACAGTGGTAGCCAGCATTTGATCCAACACTCCCAGCTCACTCTGTTCTGCCCTGCTGCTGCCTGCCTGCATGGAGATGGTCTATCTGGGGAGGTAGCCTTTTGAGGGGTTGGCTGATGTCATCTTGGAGGGTGGGGAAAGCAAGCGGACAGGCCATAAGGAGCCATTGGTGAGTGATGTGCCCCGCACCCATCTTCTGGTTGGGACTGGAGCTCATCCGTAGGGGCCCCCTTACTCTACCTCAGTGGGACCTAGAAGTCTTCTGTCCTGTCATGAGGATGGACAGAGTCGTCTGCACTTTTAAGTTCAAGGGGCCTAAAATCATCCAGAAGCGCCCCTTGGTTGCTTGGCTTCTTAAGAAAACTCATCATAGAGACAGGTAGTTTTTACAGGACAACACTTAGTGTGAGGTTCTAAAACTGTGCATTTTGATGTGGTCCCAAGTAGCCCGAATCCAGGTATTAACAAGTTGAGAAAGGTAAATTTAGAGATGTGGTCATAGCTGTGTTGTGGTGCTTTGAAGGGGGTAGGAGGCAGGCAGGGAACCTCAGCTGGAGCTCTCATCTACCACTTCCTAGCTGTGTGCCTGGGGCAAGTCATTTCATCTCTGAGCCTCTGTTTCCCCATCTGTCCATCCATCCATCTGTCCATCTATCTATCTGTCTATCCATCCATTCTCTCTCTACTCTTCTATGTGTCCATCCACCCACAAATCCACCCAGCCCATTGGGTGATCCCAGTGCCCAGGCCCCACCTCCAGGGCATTGGATTTATTTAGGCATCAGGACTTAATTGGGCTCCTGGATGACTGTGATGTGCAGCCAGGGTCGGGGTGAGGGCCACAGTGCTTGGCAGCAAGTTGCCCAAATGAGTGCATCGGGCTCATCCTGTGTTGGTTGACCTTTGTCATGTGAATGTTCAAGGCATGGGTGACCTTGGATGTGTGGTTAGAATCCTTGGTGTGTTCTGCCAGGAGGGAACAAGGCAGAAGCATGGGCTTTGGGTCACTCAGCCCAAGCCAGCTGGCTTCAATCAGTTGGTCTCTTGAGTCAGTGTCCTTTTTGAAATAATTTCCAGTTCATAGGGTTGTCATGAGAATTAACAGGATTGCAAATGTTAGGGCCTGCCTTGGAGTGAGGGTGCTCGATAGACCATTTTAACTTCTCTGTCAACATTCCCCATGGAAAGGCTTACTTAGAGCTGCCAAGACCCACTTGAAGACTGTGAAAAATCCCTAGACTTGAGCTCATTGAAGGGCACACAATGCCCTCGTGTGGCTAAAACTAGATTTGTCTGGGCAAAGGGGTGTCTTTACTGGAAATTAAATATTCATTTCTTTTAGCTACACAACCATGTGTTTTGAGGTTTAGGCTGTTTTGGTGATATTACTTCAACTGTTTATGAGCCCATCTGATGTGCAGCATTCAGTTTCAACTCTCAGAGGAGGTTAACTGGGACAGAAATGTCTCATTTTAAAAATCACAAGGAAAAGTGGTGGGGAATTGCGGTGTTGCCCCATGTAATAAAGAAGGGAGACAAACTCAGCCTAGGACTGTGAATTAAATAGAACATGCCACACAGGACAATTTTACATGGTTCCACCCAGGGTTCTAATTTGAGATTCTTATAAAGGCCCTGGTCTGTGGCCTTTTCCACAGACTATGGAGGGAACAGCCTTTGAAGTTCTGTGCCCACAGCAGAACTCAGAGAATTTTTTGTTTTTAACAAAGGGTGTATTTTAAGAGAAAAGGCAGCCAGGCTATGTCTGAACAAAAAAACTATCATCAGAAAAAACAAACACATCTTACTTTTGAAGCTGAAGATTTGAGACTATAGTAGTCGATATTTCAATATCATGTTTTCACTTGGAAATTGGGCCTCCTTCATCGAGATCCGCATAACTGTGAGTAGCTCAGAATGGGGGGAAGTCACGGTAGGAGGGACAGTGATTAGAATGTCTGTTATCCATGCCTGAGCCAGGGATGAATGATTTTTAAACAACTTTAGGTGCACTGTACATGTACAGACAGTTCAGAATGAACCAGAGATATCACGCCTGTGCAGAAGAGAGAATTGATGGATATTTCTTCCCTCTGGCTTCGCTCATTGACCACCACAGAAAACCCACAAGCATCTCAAAAGTCAGAGGCACTGGAATCATCTGGCCAGACGGAAGTCAGAAGCCTGGCCTAGAAACATGCCTTTTAAGCTCATCCCCAGGTGCTCTTTACATATTTGGTGCACAGCTTTAGGGTGTTGTCTCAGCCAATGTTTCTCAGATTTCAGGATTTTACAAACCAGTGAAATTACAAAAGGAATCTTCAAGACTCACTTTGAATTGTCAATCTATTACATTGCACAGAGCAATGAAAAGCAACGACTGTCTCCTTTCACTCTTGTTTCATAAAGCATTCTGTGCACTCGCTTGTACATGGCCTTTATTGTCCAGTTTGCTCAGAAGGTGCGTCTGTCATCATGGTCTAGCTGTTGGGAGCCCCAAAGGGTTTTGGGTAGCACTTTGGGTGAGTGAGGGATCCAAGAGACAAGGCTTACTATAGAAAACCATTGTCTTACATTCTTTTATTTATTATTATATATATATATATATGCAGATCTGTTTTACGTACAATAACTATTTCTACCAAATAATCAGACCAAGGCATTTTATTGGTAATCTTCCCCAAAATCACTCCATGTAAAATTAGATATTTATGCATTTCATGGGCTATCAAAACTTGAGACTTCATTATCAATTTCCGTTCTGAGATCATATACACAATCAAAATATACATTAACTAGATTAAGGCGATAAAAGTGAGCTGAAAGAAACCACAGGATTCAGAACAATTAAACTTTGTATTTTGCTTGCATTAGAGTCACAATGTGAATAGCAAATACTGTGCGTATCTTGTAGCTCTTCTATGCAGTGCGAGGGGCTTCTGAACATCTAAGGTGACTGCGTGACGGATGGGCCAAAAGATGATGTGACCTGCTGGAGGCTTCATCATAGGCTCACTTCTCTGCCTCTCCTTTCTTAGGTTCTTGTTTCAGTTTGTAATCAGCCAGGGCGGCCTTGATTGCATCTTCAGCCAGCACTAGAAGTAATGGAAGGAAAGAGAGTCTAAGTTTCTAGACTCTGAAGAAATGGTCTTAGGAATAGGATCTTTGAGAGCTAGAGGTCAATGGTGCTGGGAGAGGCTTTAAGACTGAGCCAGGGTGCTGGTGTGAGGAGCAAGCTTGGAAAGTCAGCCAGCTGCTTCCTGAACTGGATTACTCTTGTGGGTGGCTGTGGAGACACAGACTATTTAGATCTAAAAACCTGGGATTCTAGGCTAGTTCCTTAACCTCTTGGAATCCACTTTCTCTTCTGTAAAACTGGGATAATCATGCTTTCCTTGCTGGGATAGTGTGGGGACTCACAGAAAATGTCTGACATGTAATAGGGACACAACAAACATTAGTTCACTCCTACTCCCCTGAAAATCTGGAATAAACGTAGATGCTAGTTAAGCTAGCTGGCATAACTTAGGTCACGTCAACCTGTTGATGGGATGGCATATTAGTTCACTCCTACTCCCCTGAAAATCTGGAATAAATGTAGATGCTAGTTAAGCTAGCTGGCATAACTTAGGTCACGTCAACCTGTTGATGGGATGGCATCTGCCACATCACCCTCTGGTGATCCCAAGTTTGAAAAGTTTTATTTGGAGTTGATATTAAAGGTGAGGCTATGGAGGAAAATAAAAATAGAGAGAGCTAGAATGACAGCAGAAAGCATGCAAACAGCACAGAGAACATTAGCTCAAGGTTTCAGTACCTAAAAAGGCCTCATGAAAAGGCTGGGGTTTTTCTGAAACCGTGAAAATGTTTATAAGCTATGACCTTTCTTCATGGGTACATAAAATTCCAGCTCAAGTGGAAAGAACTCAGGTCTTAGCAGCTTCCTGAAGACTCCGTTAGCATGTCCCTAAACCAGCACCCGGTTCTTTTCCTGTGAGCCTTACTCTGGCAAGAGGCCTGGCTCTCTGTTGATTTTTAACTAATTTGGTTATTAGTAAACTTCCATCAATATGTTAAGGCTACTGTTTCTCATTCCCTGAGAAGGTTAAGAGAGGATGGAAAAAGCATTAGATTAAATAGAGACTAAACTGGAAAGCCAAGTATAAGTCTTAGGGCATCTGGGCTTTCTCTTAGGATGGTGTAGAGGGGGATATTGTACAACCAGGCTTAGTCATGTACAACCAGGCTTAGTCATTGCATATAGTCAGATGCAGATCCCCAGAGCAACAGCATCTAGACAGGAGGCAATGAAATACACAATGAACAGGATTATGGTGAGAGCCAAGTTTTCTCCTCTGCTACAGTGTGGTGGGAACGCATAGATTTTGGAATCAAAGACTGGGGCTTAAATTCTGGCTCTCCCACTTCTGAGCTGCGTGGGCCTTTGCCTGAGTACCAGCTTCCTCATCTGTAAGAGGGCAGTAACGACACCTACTGTGGACTCAAGGATGTTTCTGAGGTTTAGAAATGATGGCCATCAGGTGCTCAGTATGCCACCTGTGCACACCACCTCCTGGCATGACCCTTGTAGAGATGGCTATGAGACCACGGGGGCTTTAACCCTCTGAAGGTTACAAGGAGAGACTCCACAAGCTCAGCCCTCCCAGAGTTATAAAGACAGACCCATGACCTCTAGTTCTCTGAGGGTGATGAAGAGGGACTTCATGATCAAAAAGGACTCTGTCATTACTCTGTCACAAATGCAAATTGAAATCACTGCCAAGTGTCCCAGCTGATTGGCATTTTGGAGAGCAGAGACTTACTGGAGCAGTGCAGTTTCACAGGAGGGAGGCAGAGCTCTTTGGCAATATCTGTATTTTTGATGGTCAAGGCTTCCTCCACCTGAGAGGCATAAACAAAAGACGAGTACCTTTAGCAAAGCTGTGTCTTGCAAGGGCCAGACGATGAAAAAGGAAGGACAAAGAGGCCCCCAGGACAGGTCAGGGGGGATGATCTCTGTATAAAAACTCAAAACAAAGGGCTAAGGGCCTTCTTAGGACTCCTACTTGCATGTCAAAGTTGCAGCTGGGATTCTCAAGTATGAGGTATACACACTTATGCTGCTTGGCCGGGGCAAGCAAGGATGGCCAAGGCATTTCTATAAGCCAGGAGCAGAAGCTGTGAGAAGTCTCTTAGGGATCTGCTTGAGGGCAGCAACAGGAGCCTTTTTTTAGGGAAAAAAAAAAAAAGCAGTGATTTCCTATGCTGGCTTTGTGAGTATCAGCTTCTCTGGTGTCCTTATAGCAAATATTTAGAATAAACTTTTGACTAGAAGTGCTGAATGGCATCAGCAAGGTCGGAAGATGTCAACAAGCCAGTGGCACTCCAGTACTATGGCAGAGGCACAGCCAGGTCTCAGACTGAGAGCTTTCTTTAGGCTCATTTTCTGCGTAAAGAAGAATCTCCTCCAGACAGACTGAAGAAGATGCCTGGAGTCTGGCTGAGAGTTGGGGAATAATGTGAGGCAGGAAGGTCCTTATCCATGTGGAACAGAACCCGCTGCCTTAAGGAAAGCCAGATTTCCCAACAGCCAGACTCCCTGCCTACATCTGACTGTCCCCTGATCTCCCAGTTCTGCTAACACCACTTGATTATGATTCAAGTTCTGCTCTTGGAAACTCAGATGGAAGGATCTCGAGGTTAAAGAAAGGCCTTCTTAACCCACTTTCTGATTACAACTCATAGCCCGCTAAAGGCCAGGTCCTGGAAGCACAGGTACTTGTTTCATTTCCCCTTTTCCTGAGGATAGTTCCTGACAAGTCACTTCAGAGCCACCTCCTGCCAGGACGGGTTAGGTCTGTGCTTCATTGGCCCATGAGAGTTTGCCAGCCAGAAGGCTCTGAGCCACAGGAAGCAGGTGGCACGTGGCCTGGCACAACAATTTGCTGTAGAGTTAGCCAACTCCCCAAGCAAGCTCCTTCATGACTCATCTCCCTGAACTGGGTCCCTTGGGGCTGCAAGGATGAGTATCCTGCAGGTTGGCTTTTCTGAGAGGTTTTAATGGCTTGATTTTAGAAGGTATAGCTCTTCACTGAGTTTGAGACCTTCTGCTTCTGTAGCTGCTGGGGAAGGAGATTTTGATAGATCTCCTTAAATCTATCAAAGATTTTTTATAGCTGGCCAGTACGGGGATCTGAACCTGTGACCTTGAGGTTATAAGGCTGCACTCTAATTGAGTTAACCGGCCAGCCCTTTTGGCCTTTTTCTCCACCCTCAGAGGGCTTGCCAACCAGCCATCTGGATCATGGTTCTGATTTGTTTGTTCACTTTGCCCCACATTTGTTGTTTTTTGATTCTTTGATACCTTTTTTAACACAGGCTAGTTTATTTCACCAATCTTTGCAAGTCACCTGGAATCCTTCCTGAAATATGATGAGAGAAAATAAACAATAACCACCATACCACATACCCAACCTGACGTAGACTCTTAAGAAATTATAAGAACATCAGCAACCTTAGAGAAAGCCAAAAATTTATTTTCAATTCTATGTTAGAGGGGCAGGTGAAAATCTTTTTTTCTATGTAATTAACAAAACAAAACACTCAAACTCTCCCAAATAATAAAAGTGATCAACCACAAAAAAAACCCAAACACCTAACAAAATGACCCATAAGTTAGAGGGGCAGGTGAAAATCTTTTTTTCTATGTAATTAACAAAACAAAACACTCAAACTCCCCCAAATAATAAAAGTGATCAACCACAAAAAAAACCCAAACACCTAACAAAATGACCCATAATTCCCAATGTAGAGAATAATTTAATCAACACCTGGATAAGAGAAATTAAAAAAAATTTTTTTAAAGTAGCATTTTGAAAAAATCATGGTTACTTTTTTTTTTTTTTTTGACTCACTAGACCCTTCGAGACCCAGGTTTGCAGGAAATGTGATTTAATTCTGTGAAATGTGTGAGCAACCTACCGTCTTCCCTTTCACCCATTCAGTGGCTAACGAGCTGGAAGCAATTGCAGAGCCGCAGCCAAATGTTTTAAACCTGGCATCCACAATCTTCCCCTTTTCATCCACTTGAATCTAGAAAAGAGACAAGAGTGAAGCAGTGGTTTCTGGGGCTGCCCTTTAGAACCTGGTAACCCACTGGGGCCTTCCCCAGGTGCTTTGGGCTTGCCAGCCACACCGTAAGTTATGGCATGAACTGTTAACTTTGCTTTGTTTCAAAGAGCTCAGTGATGAAAAGTGAAACTCAGCAACAACTATACAGACCTAGCTAGTAAAGATCAGCTGGAAAATATGACCCTCCACCCCAGTTTTGTTTTTGTTTTTGCAACCCTAGCCTGGTTTTTGGCTATGAAGTCCTCTGCTCACAGCTGCTGGGGCAATCTGCCTCTTTAAACACTGGGTGAGTCTGCAAAAAAAATCTTCGGTTAATACTTTTTTCTTGGGCACTAAATTGTATTTAGTGGTTCCTTCCTGCCTTATTTCTGTTTTCCAAGATAGGTATGAAGTCCTTTGGCAAGCTGCCCACTCAACATGAAGAAGCAGACTGTGGATAAAGCTACTGTTTACCCAAAGTGCCAGCCACTACCATCATGTTGCTTCCAATTTGGGGAGAGGCTTGATTTATTGCTTTTCTTGTCTTATTGGGGATTGCTAGGTCATTGGGGTTTTCCTTTGATGGGTAAAATTCACAAAACCTTTTACTTGGCTGAAGTTAGAATTTAAGTTGATATGGTGAGTAGAAAAGTGAGATGAGTTTCCCACTTCAGAAAAGTCAGAATAATATACTAGCAGGACAACTAAGATCGAGTCCCTTCTCCAATCATTTATAACATCGACCCATCCCATCTCACAGGAATAAAGATGGATACCAAATGAAATGCTGCACGTGAAAATGTTTTGCAAACTTTGAAGCACCGTGTAAGCAAAGGGATTATTATTACCATTAAAGATGAAAATCAGCCAGTACCTGTAGCTTCATTACATCACCACATGCTGGTGCTCCCACCAATCCAGTTCCAACATTTTTAGATGTCTTGTCAAGGGACCCCACGTTCCTAGGATTTTCATAATGATCAACAACCTGAAATGAGAAGATTAAGAGAAATCATGATCACTCTATTGGTATTGGTCTCCCTGACTTGATGATAAACCCCTTGAAGGGAGCAACCTGAACCTGGCAGGTGATTGCTAAATACCAAATTTCACCTGGGAAGGAAGGTCTACACTCATGTCAGTGAGAACCATTTGTGATCCAAACTCCTTTCGTATCTCCTTACTACCTACCTTCAGAGATTTGAGACACTGGAAACAAAAATCAGCAAAATCATGTTTTATATCCATAGAGTTTTTAATCACCCACAATTACTTGACTTTTACCCACCTAAGTCACCAGATTTGGGCTCAAACTGCATTTTCGTTTATTTGAAAATAACCATTCTCTTTTTTCTTTTTTTAAATAAAAGTCAATTTATTAACGTACACGTGGGTCATGATCCTGGGTTAAAGAGATGTGTGAACTTACAAGGGTTGGAAAATAGATACGAAGGTTTTTTTTACCCTTAATAATCAGTTTATTACATTTAAGGGTTATGTTCCTGATAGATCATTTTCAGGGATAAGAATAAAGGGGTATGGCCTGTTGAGAAAATAGCAGGCATATGTTTGTTCTAAAATTGCACAAACCTCCTATTATTTTCTTGAACATCTTCCTAATTTATTTGCAGTATGTTTAAAGGTAAACAAAGTTGGTAAAATTAAAAGATGCAATGGTTTTGGGCTGGCCGGGTGGCGCACTGGATAGTGCGCCGCTTGGGAAGCGCGGCGGCGCTCCCGCCCGAGGGTTCGGATCCCACATACAGACTGGTTCCCGCTCACTGGCTGAGTGAGGCGCGGGAGCAGCACCCAGGGTTGCAATCCCGTTGCCGGTCCCGGTCCGGTACCGGGGTGACACTGAGGGTTGTGATCCGTTGCCGGACACGGAAAAAGACAAAAAAAAAAAAAGTGTTACAGTTAGCTTGTACTATTGATATTATAATTTAATCCTCTTAACAACATATAAGTATTAAATGCTTACCGTTAGGCATTGTTTTAAATACTTTAGAATTATAAATTCACTTAATCTCTACTTTAACCCTATGAGTAAGCAGCTTTTATTATTTACATATAGTAAAGGTTAGAAAGTTGAGACACAGAGAAGTTAAGTAGTTTAAGGTCACAAGTTAGAAATGACAGTACTGCAGTTTAAACTCGGGCAGACTGGTTCTGGATCCTGTATACATGTAGGATCAATTTATGTATCTACTTACCATCTATCTCTTTAGTAAACTATATATATATATCTACCTATAGATATTAATAAAGTATATATTTGTCTACCTATCACCTATCTCTATAGTAAACTATATTCCCTGTCCCTAGTGATAGCAAGACTGTTTCAGGATGCCCTCAAATAGCCATTCTTAAAGGATAACGATTACTACTTAAAAATTCTAAAAAGTGATTATGGCCCAGGAATGAAAGGCTTTCTCAGAAGCCTCAAGGTGACTGTTACAGAAGGAGCAATGCTATGGAATACGTCCGTTTGTGTTTATTAAAATAAAAGCAGTGCCATTGTGTATTTCAGGGCCCTGAAATCATCCTGGGGCAGCAGCGTACCCTGGTGGCTGAAAAGCTACCGGCCCAAAGCTCCTTCAGTGCAGATTGTCAACAAAACACACCCGCGGTGGGGGAGGAGTGAAGCCCTTGGTAAAAAAGCTGAAGCCAGAACAGAATAAACATCCATTCGAACTGGACACAGAACGCTTTAACAACCTTGAGGTTTACCAGTTAGCAATAAGTACCCCAATCTTCCAGTCTCCTCCCTCGTCATCGACTATGGATTTTGACTTCAAGCCCAAGGACCCACAAGATAATACCCAGTGTGAACTTTTTGCGCCATGTTGATTTACGGCATTCTTTAGCTGTTTCCAGAGTGAGTCCTACGTCCAGGAAATTTTCGCCCCCAGAAGACAAGGGGCTGCAAAGTACGCATCTATCCTTCCTCCCCCCACACCCCCGCCAAAGAACGAAACAAAAACATTACGCTTGTTGGATACATGCCTGACTCTCCTTCGAGATTATACGCTCCCCAGTGACAGCACCATAAATGGTCTGATGTTAAGCCTATGTGACAGGCACTATGCCGAGGACCCCACATGCTTTACCTTTTGTAGGAGACTGCTGAGACCCCCATTTTTACACCTTGGGAAACAGATTCAGCGAGGGGCTTGCCCAGGGTCACTTAGCCGGGGTAGTGGCCTGGTTGAAGCGGGAGCAGGGCTCTGGGGTGAGTGTGTGTGTCCCTGGACTCAGAATGGCAAGTCATGACAGAACTCCCCTCCTGGGCTGTGGACAAGCTTAAAGGTGGGAGGCACGAAGTCGCTGCTCGATCAGCGGCCACTATTTGTATTTCCGTTGCAATTAGTTATTGCGCAGCGAGGGAAAGTGAGTCGAGGCAGAGACGTGGGAGGGGACGGTACCTCAGTCCAGGCCGGGCGCCGCCCCTCCCAGCCCGGGCCTCTGCCGGGCGCACGGACGACTGGGGCCACTCGGCGGTCTGCGCTCCCGCCCCCCAGGTGGTGCGGACTTCGCAAACACCCTTGCCCGTCCCTACCTTCTTGTGGTAAAGCCGGGCCGGAGCTGACAGCTCCCGGACGGGCAGGCGCGGGCTCCGAAGCAGCAGGGCCGACGCCGCCCGCCTCAAACGGCCCGCTCCAGCAGCCGCCATTTTGCCGGCTTGCGCCTGCGCCGGCCCCAGTGACACCGAGGGGAGGGGCGCGCCCGCGAGTCGGCTCCGAGCTGAGAGCGCACTCCCTCTGACGTCACCGAGGCTTCGCGCCTGCGCCCTCCCGCTCTGAGCACGTGTCCGCGTTTGGGCTCCTACTTGAACACGCCCCTCGGGGAGGGCGGGGAGCGGAAGGTCTGAAGTCTTAGGGGGGATTGTCTTGTGTGTGGGATTCTGGATGGGAGGGGACATGAGGATGCTGGAACACGGGTCCCAAGTTCGCGTTCTAAAAGCACACTGCCGGAATGCCGTGCAGAGGACAACCCAGTCCACCTTTTCTAACCCTATTTTGTAGCTAAGGAAGCTGAGGTTTAGAGCAGTTTGGTAACTTGCCCTAGGTCGCTGAGAGAGTTGGGATTCGAACTTGGATAATCCTGAGTTAGAAACCTGGTTCTGCTTTTTCCTGGCTGTCTGACCCTGGACGAATGAAATTGGTTCACTAAGCCTCGATCTTTTCTTTTATACTAATTCAAGGAGAATTCTTTCATTCATGGAGCAACTGTGTTGAGTCCGTACTACGTGTCAAGGCACTATAGTAGACTGGGGATCCAATGGAAAGCAAAACAGACAAAATTCCTTCTCCATTAAGGTTGCTAATGAGGGAGAAAGGCAATAGAGAAACATATCAATGCTTTACTACCTCAAAAATGAGAAGCTTAAGAAGGAAACGAACACCATGTCCTGATTTAAAAAAAAAAAAAAATATATATATCTATATGTCTCTATATCTACTGTTTATAACTATTTTTCTGTGAGTCAACAGCAAACTGTTACACTTTATGTGAAATGCCTGGCAATTAAGCGTTTCTAAAGAAATGCTTATTAATGTAACTTATTAATGGTTTGCAGAGTATGATCTTATAAAACAGGAAAATTCTCACATGTAAGTAACGCCTACTAGGTACCAGGCATTACATAAAGGGGAGAAATCTCTTTGGGAAACATATTTTTCTCCTGAGTGATGCAATCGATCCTTCCCCGAGGACTTGGAGTTTTCTCTGCGTTTGAGGATCAGTTGCTGGGGAGATTGAACCACGCGCCAGGTCAGACGCCGCGTTAGGTAAGCTTCATTTCAAGAATCACTTTGACCTTCCCAAGATGGCGCCAAACCCTTAACTACAGACATCACGCTCATTCCATGACTTCCTCTATGGCCTCCACTTCCTGTCCAAAGACCCAACTTCTGTCCGAAGTGGTGACGGAACACATACCATGTTAATGAGCTTTTTCTCTGACGGGACCTTTTACAGGTATATAAACACAATGTGAACTGTGTGTATGTCGCTATTTTCCCGTCATCCGAGGCTCCCAGCTCCAATTTCAGTTGCAAGAAAGCGGGGTTTTGATCAGGCGCGCGCCGCGGGCAGCTTCGACTGCAGCCGGTCTTCGGCGGCCTCGGGAAGACCCGAGAGTCACTGGAAGCGCAAGATGGCGACGGCGTCTGCAACCTCGGCTTCGGAACCGGAGGCCGAGCCCAAGTCCGGGCCCAAGGCTGAGGGAGAGGAGGATGAAGTTAAGGCGGCTCGGACGAGGAGGAAGGTGTTGTCGCGAGCTGTGGCCGCTGCGACGTACAAGACCATTGGGCCAGAGTGGGATCAGCAGGAGGAAGGCGTGAGCGACAGCGATGGGGGTGAGGAGTACGCCATGGCTTCCTCCGCGGAGAGCTCCCCCGGGGAGTACGAGTGGGAGTACGACGAAGAGGAGGAGAAGAACCAGTTGGAGATCGAGCGGCTGGAGGAGCAGGTGGGCCCGGGGGTGGACAGGGGGCTCCTTCCGTCGGGTGCCCAGGTCCCCGCCCGCCTCCCGGATCCTCGAGGGTAATAAAACCGCCAAAGCCTCGAAACCGCTATTGAGCACCGGAGCTCCTGTCATTTGAGCGCTTATTGCGTGCCCGGTGCTTTGCGGACATTATCCCATCGAATGCTCGCCACAACCCCATGAAAGAAGTAGGGTTATCCCCGTTTTACGGTAGGAAACCGAGGATAGCGGAGGAAATTTTCTTGCTCAAGATAACGCTCCCTGCAAGTGGCGAGTCAGGCCTTGTACTTTGAACAGACTCCAGAACTCCCACTCTTAACACTCCACGATGGAAAGAAAACCTTATTCGTAGGAATGACGACGGTGATGAAATTGGGTGTAGTAGGAGAAAGTATTGACCGTGACGATGGTAATAAAAATGGAAAGGTAGAGGTTTCCGTGTTTGGAGACTAAAGCTCCAGTTCTGTTCCACTCCTGTGTGTCCTTGGGCGAATCCCTTAACTTCTCTGAGCCTCGGTTTTCTCATTTGTAGATTGAGAGCAGCAATTCCTGCGTCCTGTAATTGTCTTAACAGTAATTATAATCTAGTGGCTGGTACCTAGTAGTAACGTGATCTCTAATTTGTAATCTTATGAGGTGGTGATATCTCCTGTGTAATCCAGGGTCCCATCAGGAAATAGATGGCACATTCAAATTAGGATAATTTGAGAAAAAGTTAATAAAGGGACAACTTTTTATAAAGGTGTGGGCAGGGAAATCAGGAGCGAAGGTTTAGTAACCCATGCCTCGTAACAGCAGGACCTTGTGTCCACCTTTAGACCTGAATGGGTGAAGGGAGTGATTTGTTACCCGAACAGTTGTGTGGAGAGGACACCTGAGAGCTACTGAGAACTTTGGTCAAGAGGTGCAGCCCCAGTTTCCCGTCAGGGGTTGGGATGGGGGAAGAAATACCCTGGCTTCTCTCTTTTCCTTCCTCCAAACTTCTGCTGGTGCTTTCTGTTGGGCAAACCCAGCTGAAGCCAGACAGCCAGGACGCTTGTAAATGTGGTCTACGCTGGGGGGCACAGGACAGGAAGGAGAGGATGGAGCGAATTGGGAGGGGCAAACAGAAGAGATCGTTCACGTTCTCTTCTTACAGATGAAGGAACAGAGGCTCAAAACAAACCTTGCCGGGTATCACTTTCCTTATAATGCCTCATCTGACACTGACGTTTTTGTTAGTTTTGAAATAGTGATTATCCTTCATTGGTATTGCTTGTCTCTCTTGTTGTCACAGCTGATTGTCAAAGAAACCTGTTGGGATAGGCAGGTGGTTACCGTTTCTACTTTTTATAAATAAATGTGCTGAAGCTAATATACTTTTATTAATTCAGCAAATGAGGTTCTTCAGAAAGTTTGTGGGAACGTAGGATTGAAAGATAATAGGAATCTTTCCATGAACTTTTTGAAGTATCCATGTACAGTGTGACATGGGGTGCTGAACTATGTCTCTGCCATTATTGAAATCATTTATTCAGACTGCTAGCCCTGGGGAAATAAAGAGCATCTGTTTTCGTAGGAAAGGGAGGCTTGAAACCAGGGAGGTTAAGTCCTTGATGAGGGTACACAGCTTACTAGGGAGGAGGATGGGTCAGAGCAGAGGTCTCTTGTCTACTGGTGTTCTGCAGTTGCCTGCCCCACCTCAGGTCACCAGGGGTGGGATGGACCTCAGAAGGTGACCACACAGGATGGGACCTGGCAAGTCCTGGTGAGTTGAAGAGCCTCTGGCCTTATCCTTTTTGTCCTGGGGTCTCGAAATGGACTTCCAATTTTTCCACACCTCCCTCCTGCCTCATCCTAATCCCACAGCCTCTTGTTCCTACTGTGACTGCTCGTATCAGGTGGAGCATAATGATGAGTAACTTCCAAGTAGGCCTGTGAAAAACTCGGCCTTGCTGTATTTGCGAGTTTGGCTCTCATCCTTGAGTGTATTTTATGAAAGCTGGCGATTTGCTGTGGTATCTATTCATGTAACAAAAGCAAAGGTTTCCTATTATTTGTGTTTGTGTGCTGAAACTAAAAGTGGGATCTAAAGCCTGCTCTGTTCTTCCTTCCTTGCTATGCCTGTGATTGCACCAGTTGTTTTTCTTCCACCAGGTCTCTCTGTTGTCACTCGCATTCTGGGGACAGGGAGGTGTGGCACCTTCTTCACACTGCTAGAGAGTTAGGAAATCAGTTAGCAGATCATTTTGTGCATTGGCTAAGCCTCCTCTTTTTAAAAAGCTGCTTATGTCTTTAATGATGTTCTGAGACCAGAATAGACCAGTGTAATTGGCCAGTACTCATTTGTCAGTATTGATTGAACCATATGGAAATGTGTCTCTTCAAAATGCATTTCAGTGTGCATTTAATACTTTCAAAGCACTTCTCCATATATAGTATCTTCATTATGTTGGCTTAAAAATTAGAAGTTTAGAACAAATGCCACTTAAGAGGCAGTTTCTCTATTTTAGCGACTTCTATACCTTTTTCTTCTGCTGACCTACACGTGGTTTTCGTGTGAAGGGCACTTGCATAGACATTCCTGATACTAACTAGGAAGAACTCTCCCTCTCCTGTAACGCTCAAAAAGCACACTGAGACTCGAGTGAGTTGTGAATGGTGGTGTAACAGGGAGAACCTTGAATGTTCTTTAAAGAAGAACATATACCTTTCTCAGGTTCACTTTAACTGCTGTTACTTTGTGTGACTCACTTGACAGATGGTTTTGAAACAGTGTATGGTGATAGCCTGTTTAATAACCAGAGCTTTGCTCCAGCTCCTTCATTGTACAATTGAAGAAACAAGAACCAGAGGGGAACAGAACACTTGTGTCCTGATCTAGTCCAGTACTTTTTAAACCTGTCACAGGATGGGGTTCAGCTTCTCAAGTTTTGTAAATCATGAACAGGAGAACATTGCTAAAAGTCTTTAGATTTTTTTTGAAATTATAATAATGTTCTTATCTGTAATTGATTATTGTTTTCTTTTTGCATGTAATTTGATAAATACAAAGTAGTTCAAGTCATGTATAAGAGTTTCACTAAGTCAGTATTTTTCAGACTGGGCTGGCCAGTTAGCTCAGTTGGTTAGAGTGTGGTTCTGATAACACCAAGGTCTAGGGTTTGATCCATGTATTAGCCAGCCAAAAACATTTGTTTTTCAAACTGGGTGCCACAGTGATAGGCCATGAATTCATTTCGGCTAATACATCCATTGCCACCTCTGTGATATATTTTCTGTTGCATGGGTCTGTTTTTGGGCTCTCTCTTCTGGTCAGTTTGTCTATCCCTTGCCAATTCCATTGTCTAACTTATTGCTGAGGCTTGCTATCTGGACCAGACAAATCCTCCTACACCTGATTTTTTTTTTCATAGGTGTGTTTTGGCTCTTTCATATAAATTTTAGGATTATTTTGTCAAGGCCTATGAAGAACCCTTTTGGGTTTTAGATTAGAATTGCATTGAATTTATGGATCATTTAGGGGGTCCCTTGCCAATTCCATTGTCTAACTTATTGCTGAGGCTTGCTATCTGGACCAGACAAATCCTCCTACCTGATTTTTTTTTTCATAGGTGTGTTTTGGCTCTTTCATATAAATTTTAGGATTATTTTGTCAAGGTCTATGAAGAACCCTTTTGGGTTTTAGATTAGAATTGCATTGAATTTATGGATCATTTAGGGGAGAATTGACATCTTTGCCATAATGATTCTTCTATCCAGTAGTATGATGTATAACGCCATTTATCTAGGTCTTTAATATTGTTCAATGAAGTTTGAAAACATTTCTCCCTATGGGTTTCACACACCTTTTGTTAGGTGTATTCCCAGGTATTTTGTAATGTTTATTGTCTATGCTATCCTATTTAAAATCACATTTTAAAACTTGCTGATTTATAGAATTGTAATTTTTTTTATTGTGATAAAGAACACATAACATAAACTTTGCCATCTTAATCATTCTTAAGTGTACAGTTCTAATGTCAGGTATATTCATGTTGTGAAGCAAATCTCCACAACTTTGTCATCTTGCAAATCTGCAACTCTTTGCTCATTAAACAACTCCCCCATCCCCTTCCCTCAACCCCTGATAACCACCATTCTACTTTTCTGTCTTTATGAATTTGACTACTTTAGATATCTCATATAAGTGGAATTATAGAGTATTTGTCATTTTGTGTGCAATTGATTTTTTTACATTGGTCTTATTGTTCATCACCTTGTTAATCTTGTTTATTATGTCTCATTTGTAGATTAGTCTTGGTTTACTATGCAGGCATTATAGTGATATGATATATATGATGTATTGTCTGAGAATAAGTACCATTTTCATTCTTTTCTCTCTTTTTTTTTTAAGATGACTGGTAAGGGGATCTTAACCCTTGACTTGGTGTTGTCAGCACCACGCTCTCTGCAGTGAGCTAACCGGCCCTCCCTATTGTGGGATCTGAACCGGTAGCTTTGGTGTTATCAACACCACACTCTCCCAAGTGAGCCACGCCCTCATTCTTTTCTCTTTTTGTCAGTAATTTGTTTTTCTTATCGGATTATTTCAGCCACAGACCTCAAGTACAGGGTTAAATAGAAGGTGATATTGGGAATCTGCGGTATTTTTAAAAAGAACTTCTAAAGTTTAACCAGTAGTAGCCAAGTTTATTGTAGATTTTTGTAGATACTTTTATCAGATTAAAGAAGGACCTTTCTATTCCTAGTTTGCTAAGTTTTTATTCTTAATTATGAATGAGCATTTTTATCAAATGCCTTTTCTTCATTGAGATGGTATTTTTTTTCCCTCAAATCTGTTAGTTTAGAAAATTAACTTTTCTTGGTATAGATCCTATTTGTTCATTATGTATTATTTTGTATGTGCATTTCTGGTTTGTTAATAGTTTATTTAGGGTTTTTGTATCAGTGCTCTTGAGTGAGATCAGGCTGTAATTGATTAAATTCTGTGTGCCAGGTAGGTAAAGAGAATCTAGCTATGAGCAAGATGTAAAACATATGAGGTGCTTATCCCAAAGAGCCTTTAGATGATGATGGAAATAAACAGGATATTGAGATGGAAAGCAGCTTGCAGCAAGTAGGGGGCTATTAGAAAAGGTGGCCAGGGAAGTTTAATGAGATAACTGAAAGATGAGAAGGAGTGCCTGTTCAAAGAGCCAGGGAGAGAGCCTTCTGGGCTGAAGGAGCAGCAGGTGCCAAGCCCCCAAGGTTGGAGAAACCTTGTTGTGTTTCAGTTACAGGAGCTGGATGTGTGGTTGAGAGGCCAGTGGTTTGAGATGTCGTTGGAGAGATGAGCCGAGGTGTGCTGGTCTTTCCACAAGGCAGGGATTTGCACATTGTTCCAGAGACACTGGGAAGTCATGGAGGGAAGTCAAGTATTATATATTACATTATATAATAGTAAATATAATTTACTGTTATAATTAATACAGAAAGATAATGGGTTCTTGTTTAAAATCTAAATAATTGAACAAAACCCTATAATCCTTGGTATTTGTATTCTGCAAATGGGTTGTTCCCCTTTTTACCCCTCCTCCTGCATTTAAACGTTCACTGGTAAGTTAATTTTTTATTCTGAAGTTCAAGTAATCAATTTATTGGCCCTCTTTATGTATTTTACTGAAATAGCATCTGGATTATTGGAGTACATTGTTAGATGGCAGAGTGTTGTTTGAATGAAGTATAGGTAATCAGCTGTCTCTGAAGAGGGAATATTCATTGCTGAAATGATGTGGCAGGTGTTGGAAGGGTAGATACCAATCTAGTCTTCATGTACAGACTATGTAACCCCATATCCCAACTTGTAGGAAAGCTCTTTTTTTTTTTTTTTTTTGTCTTTTTCGGTAAGGGGATCGCAACCCTTGGTGTGGTGTCGCCCACACCGCACTCAGCCAGTGAGCACACCGGCCATTCCTATATAGGATCCGAACCTGCGGCGGGAGCGTCGCTGCGCTCCCAGCACCGCACTCTCCCGAGTGCACCGCGGGGTCGGCCCGGAAAGCACTTTTTTAAAATTAAACTTTTTATTTGAGATAATTGTAGATTTCCATGCAGTTGTAGAAAGTAATACAGAGAGACCCTGTGTACCTTTTACCCAGTTTCCCTCAGTGGTAACGTTTTGCATAATTATGGTATATCACAGTCTGGATATTGACGTTGATACAGTCAAGATATAGAACAGGGCCAGCCCGTGGCTCACTTGGGACAATGTGGTGCTGATAACACTAAGGCCACGTGTTCGGATCCCTATATAGGGATGGCTGGTTAGCTCACTTGGGAAAGCGTGGTGCTGACCACACCAAGTCAAGGGTTAAGATCCCCTTACCGGTCATCTTTAAAAAACAAAACAAAACAAAACAAAAAAAGATATAGGTCAGTTCTGTCACCAGAAGGATCCTTCCCGTTGCCTTTTTGTCAATACCTGTTCATGCGCGCTTATTTGCCATCTGTATGTCCTCTTTGGTGAAATGTTGGTTCATGCCTTTTCCCATTTTATTAGATTGTTATTTACTGTTGAGTTTGGAATTAAATCTTTTAGATATTAGTGCTTTGTTGGATGTGTGGCTTGCAAATATATTTTTCCAGGCTGTAGCTTGTCTTTTCATCCTCTTAACAGGGCCTTTTGTAGAGCAAAAATTAATTTTGATGAGGTCTAATTTATCAGTTTTTCCTTTCACGGATCATACTTTTGGTATCAAATCTAGGATCTCTTTGTGTAGCCTTGGATCCTGAAGATTTTCTCCTGTGTGTTTTTCTAAACATTTTATAGTTTTATGTTTTACATTTAAATCTGTGATCCATTTGAGCTAATTTTTGTATAAGGTGTGAGGTTTACATCAAGGTTTATTTTTTGCCTACGATATCAAGTTGCTTCAGCATCATTTGTTGAAATGAGGCCCTTTTTCCTCCATTGAACAGCTTTTGCATCTTTGTCAAAAATTATTTGGGCATATTTGTGTGGGTCTGTTACTGGCTTCTTTTTTCTTCTGTTGATCTCTGTGTGTTTCAGCCAGTTTTGATGATTGTAGCTACATAGTAGCTTTTAGTATCAGGTAGACTTATTTCTCCAACTTTATTCTTCTTTTTCAAGATGCTCCAAGATTCTTTCTTTTATCGTTTCCTTTCTGTTTGAAGACCTACTTTAGCTGTTCTTCAAGGGGTAGGTCTGCTAGTGATATTCTTTTAGTTTTCCTTTGTCTCAGATGATAGCTTTTTAAAAAGTTATTTTAATTTGCTTTAACTTTTAGTTTAGAAAGTTTCAAATGTTTAATAAACACTTATGTACCTGTCACTCAGCTTCAACAGATACCAACCTTTTGCCTTTCTTGTTTCTGCAGTAGGAATTTTCATCTGTTTTGTTTAGTAAAAGAAAAGAGCTCTTTCTACAGCGCACCTGACGTGTGCTAAAGCACATTATTTAATTACCTTTTAAAATCCTCACCAGAACCTTAGGAGCTAGAAACTAGTAGTATCTCCATTTTCTAGATGAAGTGGAGGCTTGTTTTAAGAACTAAATTTCTGTGCACGATGCCAGGTTGTGTGAGACAGATGAAATGTTTGTGTGCTGATGACTCTTGGTAAAGTCCCCTCTTTCAGCTTGACTTTTGGTGAGGGAGATGGTAATGCCCGAGGTGCTCTTGTCTCATAGAGCTCTGGCTGGAGTGGCTACATGACGAGATCAGCATGGCCCTGGATGGCCTGGACCGCGAGCACGTGTATGACCTCTTTGAGAAAGCTGTGAAGGACTACATTTGTAAGTTCCCGGGGGCTTTTTCAGGGGGTCTGGTGATGTCATCTGGATCAGTCTTTGCTGTCGTGGATTGTGTCGTGAGATGTTGCTTCCCAGAAAAGAGAGCATTTGTTTAGCAATTAGAAAGATTTAAGTTCAGGGCTGGCTGGTTGGCTCACTTGGTTAGAGTGTGGTGCTGGTAACACCAAGGTCAAGGGTTTGGATCTCTGTGCTGGCCATCAACAAAAAAAAACAAAAAAAGAGAGAAAGATTTACGTTCAGTCAAATTCTTCAGTCCTCAGTTGAGAAATTTGGTTTTAAAATAAAAGAGGAAGAAATATTTGTAGTAGGGGAATGAATATACTCATAACTAGCATTTGTCTGGCAGTGAGAACTTAAATAGTGTTTCCAGGTAATTAAAGGTTACCTTTTTACACATCAAATATGTTGTTAGAGGTTTTGGACAGAATACTTTTTAAAAAATATTAAAATGTTAAAAAATTTTTTTTTTTTTGAAATAAGTATGGATTCATAAGAAGTTGCAAAAATAGTACAGACAAATCCTGTGTACTCACTTCACCCAGTTTCCCCTCAGTAGTTTATAACTGTGGTACAAAATCAAAACCAAGAAATTGACCTTGGTACAATGTGTGTGTATAGTTCCGTTACATTTTATAACGTGTAGATTCGTGTAACCACCGCTGCTTTACCTTCCCCTGTTCACAATATAATTGTCTTAAATATTTTCTCTATGTGCATTGAGGACCACATCAGACAATGCTGTGGACAAAATGCTGTAAAAAAAGCATTTAAAAGTTTCCCCCTTTTTAATCATCGTCTTCCCTTTTCTGATTATCCTGATATCCCACTGTGGGCATTTCCCTTTGTGAGAAGCATTGATACTTAAAAGGTAGACTGTCCTGAGGTAGAGAATTTTTTGTGTACCTTTCCAACCAAGAAGAATTTACAATTTTCTATTCTTTATAATCCGGGTAATGAAAATAATAGGCATTTTACAAATATAAAATTATGTTAAATGTGTTTTTAAAAGCTATATTTGTGTCCCTGCTCTGATGCTACCCATGGGTCATCTTTTAGAATCACTGAAAGAGTTAGCAGTGCGTAATGTTCCTGTGTTTTCTGATGATGCTGTTATCCGTTTCATGATATCTCTGTCATCGTTAACAGCACCAGTTATCTTTCGCTTGAGGATCTGTGGCCCTCCTTAGACTGTAATGTTTTTTGGTCCTTTATGGTTTTGCATTGTCTCTGCTGTCAGGCCTTCACTGTCACTAGTGCTGATATCAGTGTGCCTTCCCTTTCCACCAGCCTTCAGGTCTGCTGTGGGTCAGGAAGACAGATAACCAAGCTTAGATTATGCGTCATAAGTAGTTTTGAACGAGGGCCTGAGGGACTCACGTGTTATTTTCAGGAGATAGAGTGCATGGAAATTGTGTCACTTGTTTCAGATGTTCAGAAGCCACTTTTGCCTGCTTCTTAGTTTTTAGCTGTGTTGTGGACATTTGAAAATGCCAGGCATAGACCTCTATTTCTCAGCATGGTCTCAGGAGTGATTTTCAGACTGTCCGAGAGGTCTTTCTGGGCCATTAATAGGTTATGGCCATGGCCCTTTGACTCTTTGAAGATTTTGAAAATTAGTTTTCTTGGTTTTCAGAGGAAGAGCCTCATGCAGAGGCTGTGTGCCTATTTTGGAGCCTGGCATCTTGTGTCACATTCTTTTGTTTGTCTTTTATAGTCACTATGGACTCTGGACCTTTGGGTTTCCTAAGTTTAAATACTGTTTGTTCAGGAACAAGACAAGGATGTCCCCTTTCACCACAGCTTTTCAACATTATACTGGCAGTCTTAGATAAGATAACTCAATAAGATAGGAAAAGGAAATAAAGGTGTGCAGATTGGGAAGGAAGAAGTAAAACTGTCTTTGTTCACAGATGGCATGTTTATCTATGTAGAAAATCCAAAAGAATCAAAAAAACTCCTGGAACCAATAAGTCGTCATAGCAAAGGTGTGCATAGATACATGTTGTATAAGAGACACAGTTGAGTCAGTTGCTTTCTTATATACCAGCAAAGGACAAGTGAAAATTGAAATTAAAAACACATTACCATTTATATAAGCACCCCAAAAATGAAATACTTGGGTATAAATCTAACAAAATATGTATAAGATTTGTATGAGGAAAAGTACAAAACTCTGATGAAAGAAATCAAAGACGAACTAAATAAATGGGGAAAGATTCCATGTTCATGGATAGGAAGACTCAATATTGTCAAGATGTCAATTCTTCCCAACTTGTTCTATACATTCATTGCAATGCTAATCAAAATTCCAGCAGTTTATTTTATAGATATCGATAAACTGATTCTAAAGTTTATATCCAGAGGCAAAAGACCCAGAACAGCCAATTCAATATTGAAGGAGAAGAACAAAGTCGGAGGACTGACACTACCTTACTTAAAGACTTACTAGAGAGCTACAGTAATCGAAACAGTGCGGTTATTGGTGAAAAATAGACCAGTAGATAAGTGGAACAGAAGAGAGAGCCCAGAAGTAGACTCACATAGATACGAACCTCAGATCCAGAAGCTAGGTCATTTCTACTTCTATTTTACAGCCCCATATGGCAGCTCTGTGTTGGTAAGGGAAAACAGAGTAGCTAACAGACTTTGCCTAAGTTCTTTGCAATGGGTTTCTCAATGAAAAAGCAAGTAAGCCTCAGGAAAACTTAGGCAGTAGTTCTCAAATTGGCTTTTTTATTTTTTAGTATTTTTATATTAAAAGGTTAGTGTATAGGTCTCTAGATCTTTCAGATTGCTGAAAAGTGACTTAATAGGCAAAGTGGGTACAGGGAAAATTGGTGCATTTGTAGAGTTTTAACTCATTAGTCTGGTCTTAAAGCCTCAGGAGTGAATAAAAAGATTAAAAAAGAAAGTGAAAGAAATAGGTGAACAGGTCTCTTTGCTTAAATATCATTAAAAGTAGAGATTTACAATATAGATTTTTAGTAACAGGATTAGTGCTTTTAACTTTGTTCTTTAACTTCTACAAGAAGGCTTAGAAATGAATCAAGATTCAAGTCAAAAAATTCTAGACTTTGAAATCTTTGGGAAGGTTCGCTAGATTCATAACTATTTGTATGGAAATCCATTACTGGGTTCCTTCAGTTTTAATAAATAAACTTTATAATCATGATCTTATTACATATCACCACTTGGCATATACTGTTTATGCAATAAAATCTCAATTAGTGTATTTAGTAGGAACATTGTTTAAGATATTTCTTTTCAGGCTACAGTATTAGTACAGGTAAATTGGGGTGCTTGTTGATGATGCTCTTAGCTTTTTTGCATGAATGAGCACTTTTTTGGTGAGCACCAATAAAGTTGTCTTGTTATGCATTCTTTTGTTATACATCAGTTTTGATATTTGGATGTTTTATATCCTGAACTAATAGAATACGTCTTATTTTCAGGTCCTAACATTTGGCTTGAGTATGGCCAGTACTCAGTTGGTGGGATTGGTCAGAAAGGTGGCCTTGAGAAAGTTCGCTCTGTGTTTGAAAGGGCTCTCTCGTCCGTCGGTTTACATATGACCAAAGGACTCGCCATCTGGGAGGCTTACCGAGAGTTTGAAAGTGCGATTGTGGAAGCTGCTCGGGTGAGTGACCCCCTGCTTGCCTCTGAATGGGCAGGGGCAGTCTTTATAAGGCTTCTTGGAAGTATTATTTTGGAACAGCTGTCCAAGATAAGTCTGAGTCTTAGAGTTAACAGAATTAACCAAATGGGCTTTACTAATCCCTTAGTGGGTGAGCAGTAAAATAAATAAGATCAGTAGTCTTTGTGGAACAGCAAGTATGATTTGTTGGGGGTAGAAGCAGGTGACCACAATTTTTTTCTGCTATTAAAAAGTACGACTGCTTTAGTTGCATGGTTTCTTTAGTTACGTGGTGAATGTACAAGAATAACCATGGTACTAAAAAAAAAAAAAAAAAAAATCCAATTGAAACAGAGAGGAAATCTGAGCCTGTCTTGATTGCGTTCTTTAGACTATGATTTATAAAATTTTACGGTAGTGTCCCCTCTCCACTATGGTTATGTATGTGCACAGAAAGTTCTTGTTGACTCATAGTGGAGCCTTCTAATAAGTACATCATTGTTATTAAAGTAGCCCCAGTCACTTCTCGATTACATCCCTGTTCAAAAATCTTCAGTGGTGCCTTCAACTTACCCTGAATAAGGCATCAGGACTAATGCTTTTGTTTGACATTTGTGGCTCACTCTAGTGTCAGACATAATCCCTTCATGGACTCTGTTCCCACGGTCCCCTGAACATTCTTGCACTTTCTTGCTGCTGTACTTTTACTCATGCTATTCCTTTAACCAGGAGTCAGTTTCCTTCTCTTGCTACCTCTGGGGAGCCTGGAGATACATTCCAGATGCCAGCTCCTCTAGTCTTTCCTGATTTCCTCCTTCCATAACAACAGCTCACCCTTAAAGACCAGTGTGAAGCAGGCTACACGATAGCGCTACGTTCATACTTATGATACTTCACTTTCATGATTCTTATGTTCAGCCTCACTGTAGTCATTTGGATACATTTCTTATTGCTTTTTGCTCTCCCCGTCGTCATAAACACTTAGGGGCAGAGATAACATTTTTGTACCCTTTCCAGCATTTGGCCTGACACCTCATGTATATATGAGGTTGTGTAAGTTTTTTAAATTGGAACTGAAAGTTTGTTGAAATATTTTTTGAAGTAGGAAGAACCAGAGTTTGTCATTTACTACTAATTTGCTTCTTTAGCCCATAGCTGGCTTCCTTTCCCCTTTTGACCGGGAACAAACCTTTGATTCACAGCTTGAGAAAGTCCACAGTCTCTTCCGGCGACAGCTGGCGATCCCACTGTACGGTAAGAGAAACTGACATGTCAACAGGCTGCCCTTTGTGGTTTTTAAAATGCTTCGGGGTATGTCATATAATTAGACAATTTTCAGCATCCTATGAGGCAAGTAGGGCTGGTGTTCTTATTCTCATTGGACAGTGTCACTCTGGACGAAGTCCTTGGGAAAAACATATCTTAAATTGTCAATGCTCAAGGGGGTTGGAAGGGTCAGAGGCAGGGCTAGAAGCCATACTCTCTGACTCTCAGTTGAGATCTCTTTCCTACTTGAAGGCATCATTGGAAAGGCAGACATAGGGTCTCTGAAAGGAACAGGCAAACTGACACCCTGTATTTTCTGGAGAGACTTTATTGAATAAGAGTTCCATTACAAGCATTTTCTTTCCAGGAGTAACCTGTTTCATAAGAGTGGCAATTTTATGTGGGCTTATATCATTCCTTTGTGGGGGTGATTTGGTTCAAAAATAGTTGATTGGAATTATTCATATCCAAATTTTTTGGGTTTTGGTAAAGAGGCTCCTTTTTGGGTCAGTATATTTTGGCAAACCAGGCCTGTGTGGCTCTGGAGCTGTGAGCATGTGTGGCTCTGGAGCTGTGAGCATGTGTAGCACTGGAAGGATTTTTTTAGAGCCTGGGAGGAGTGTGGCACTGCCACCTTGTTTGTCTCCTAGACGTGGTTATGCATTGCACACACACAGAACCTCTGGACAGCTTTACTTGAGCCCAGGTGTTATTTCTCTTTTTACTTCATGGTTAATTTGGGTTTGTTTTGACAAATTACAATGTTGCTCTCCAATTGAATTGTGCAGTGATATGCAGAAAAGGCTCAAATCGAGCTGATTTGTCAATTTCTTCTCACATACTAACTTGAGACAGCCTAGCGTAGTGATCAGAGTGTGAACTTGAGCCACACTGCCTGGGTTCAAAGTGCTGCTCTCACTTTAACTGTAGACAAATGACTTAACCTTCTGCTTCGATTTCCTCAACTGCAAAATGAGGATCACAATAGAGTCTACCTGGTAGAGTTGTGAGGATCTAATGAGTTGTGTGAAGTGCTAGAACATAGGAAGCAGTAGGTGCATGTTGTTAAAGCGTTGCTGATAGTTTCATTGACTCTGATTAATCAGCTGGTAGGGTTGCCTGGGACATCATTTTGAGACAGATTCTAAGGCCAGGTCTGGGCTTAGCAGAAGAATTTGATCAGTAAGAGCTGCCATGGCCACAGATGCGGGAGGGGCCAGTGGCACCTGAGTCTCATGGCTTATTATATGTTTGGGTTGATAAAACCCAATGGTGAGACCCACGGGGCTGAATCCATCTTTCAATAGATATGGAGGCCACATTTGCAGAGTATGAAGAATGGTCAGAAGACCCAATACCAGAATCGGTAATTCAGAACTATAACAAAGCACTACAGCAGTTGGAGAAATATAAACCCTATGAAGAAGCACTGGTAAGTGTTGGCTTCTTTTATAGTAACCTTCTCTCTGCAAACATTTCCCTGAACAATAGTTGCAAGTTAAACAATATCTTAATATTTGTTTTATTGTGAAATATATAGAGTATATAAATGTATACATACAGTTTACATACTAATAATAAAGTGAACATCCATGTACCCACCACCCAGGTTAAGAAATAGAACATTGCCAGTACCTTAGAAGTCTCCTATGTGCCCCTCTCCGATTGCCTCCTCCTCCCTCTCCCGAGAGGTAATCACTTTCCTGACTTTTGTGATAATCATTCCCTTGCTTTTCTTTATAGTTTTACAACCTTTAACGTATCCTTAATTAATGTGTTGTTTAATTTTGTTTGTTTTTTGAACTTCTATATAATGGAATTGTACTGTATATTTTCTTTTCTTTCAACATGTTTTTGGGTTTTATTCATGTTGATCAGTGCAGTTACACTGCATTTGTTTTCACTGCTATGAAGTTATGTGTGTACACCACAATTTATTTACCCAGGTTGTTGGATAGTTGGGTCATTTCCAGTTTTTTGCTAGGAGCAGAATTGCTGTAAACATTCCTGTGTATATCTCTTGGTACACATGAAAGAAAGTTTTTCTAGAATATATAATTAGGAATGAAATTGCTGGATCGTAGGATAATGCTAAAGTGTTTTTCATGTCATCAGTTTGTACTCCTGCCAGTAGTATCTGAGAGTTCTCATTGCCCCCGCCAATCTTGGATATTGACATGCTTAAATTTTAGCCAGTCTGATGAGTTTGAAATTGTAGTTTTAATATGGATTTACCCGATTACTAGTGATGTTGAGCATCTTTTCATGTTTATTGACCATTTGAATTTTCTTTTATGTGAAGTTCCTGTTAAAGTCTGACCTATTTTTCCTTTGGTTTGTCTTTTTTTCTAATTGATTTGTGGGAGTCCTGGTTCTTACTTATTTTTGGTTCTCTGTATTGCAGATTTACCCCTAGTATGTTGCTTGTCTTTTAATTTTTTTAAATGGAGTCTTTTGATGAACAGTTCTTAATGTTACATCCAATTAGATTAAAATTCTTTCTCTTATGGTTTGTACTTTTGTTGTGCTTATTTAAGAAATCTCCCTTACTCTGAGGTCTTTAATATATTTAGCTCTTTTTCTTCTAAAAATTTTATAGTTTTTACTTTCACTTTTAGGTCTTCATCCACCTGGAATTGATTTTTGTGTGTGGCATGATGCAGGGTCACTTCTCCATATGGAGAAGCTGTTGTCGTAGCACTTACTTTGATAATTCCCTCCTCCCCTCACTGCTGTGCTGTGCTACATCTGTCATAGATGAGCTGTCAATTTATGTGTGGCTCTTATTCTGATTTACACTGTTGTTATGATGATAGTTTCATGATATGTTTTGACCTTGGATATGATGAGTCCAGTCCACTTTGTTCCTTTGCAAGAGGGGCTTGACTTTCTTTAGCCTTTAGTGCTCCCATCAAATTTAGAATCAGTTTTTCAAGTTTTATCTAAAAAAAAAACACTGTTGAGTTTTTTTTATCGGAATTGCATTGTGTCTGAGAGCAATTTGGGGAAGAATTTATGTCTTTAAAATATCGAGTCTTCCAACCTATGAACATAGTATAGGTCTCTGTTTACGCCTTGTTTTTCTGTAGAGCTTTATAATATTTTTATAAATTTATCCAATGTCTTGAACATGTACTTTTTAGATGTATTTCTAAGTCGTTTTTGATGTTTGCATGAATGGTATCTTTTTATAGATTGTATTTTCTGGGTGTTCCTGGTATATAAAATATAACTGGTATTTTATATTAATTTTCTATCAAACTTGCTAAATTCTTATTAATAATTTATAGGATCTTTTGGATTTTCTGTGTTGACAATACTATTTATAAATGGCATTTTTTTTCCTTTCTTGTTAGAATTCTTTTAACTTCATTTACTACACCTCAGCCTTCTGCTCTGGTTTTCTTATGTTTATCTGTCTTTTTGTTTGTCCCACCAGACATCACTGTTAATACTGCATTCTATCACAGTTTGTTTACATTTATTATATGCATTTCCTGCTGCTTTCTTTGCTCTTCCCTTCTTCCTGTATCTAGGATTTTTCACCTGGAATCACTTTTCTTTTGCTTGAAGTAAACTCTTTAGAGTCTCCTGTATTGGAGATTTGCTGGTAACAGATTTTCTGTTTTAAAAGGTCTTTGCTCTCCTCTTGAAAGTTACTTTTTTAGGATATAAAATTCTAGACCGACAGATTCTCTCAGCAGTTGAATGTATCTTTCTGTCTCCTGGCTTCTATTGTTGCCATTGAGAAGTCAGCTGTTTGTCTTACTCTTGCTTCTTCCAAGGTAATCATTGTTTTTTTTTTTCTCTGACTAATTTTAAGATCACATTGGTTTGGTCTGATTGTCCTGTAATTTCATTACAGTAGGTCCGGGTAGGGTCCTGAGGTTTTTTGGGATCTCTCTTGGCATAGTGAGTATGAGCACAGACTTTGAGAGTAAGGCTGCCTCTAGTTTGAATTCTAGCTCTGCCACTTACTAGGTCTCTTACTCTGGGCTAGCACTTACCTCCCTGTGTCTCAGTTTCCCCAAATGTAGGGTGGGGGTAGTAATGAGACCTGCCTCGTAGGATTGTTGTGAAGATCAAATTCTTGATCTGTGTTAAGCCAGCAAAAGCTTAACCTTTACTTAGCTTACCAACTTTCACTTAGATTTTGTTCTTAGTATTTCTTGTTTCTTTGCCAGTTTGTTGATTTTTAAGAAGATTTTTCAAAATATATTTAACTCAGAAGTTTTAGTCATTTTCAGTGGCACAGTGTCTGGGTAACTAATTCACTGTCATGACTGGAAACTCAGGTTCTAAAACATCGTCTTTCTATTCACAGAGCATGTGTGCTCTCTTGTTGGCCTGTGCAGGCTCCCTCTCCCTTTCTTTTTCACACGTAAGTGATTTGTGTGTGCCTGTTTTTTGGAAAGCCTAGTGGATGACGTCCTCAACCAGTTCAGTTTTGTTCTGGCCATCAGCAGAGTGTGGCTGAAGAGAAGACAAGTTGAAAAAGAGGATTTTGTTTAAAAAGAATTTGATTGTGTGCCTTCGTATCAGTAAACATTCAGCACAGCCTCCTCTGTCTTCTGCATGTGTCTGTGCTCTTGCAGGAACTGGTATTGGGAATGATAAACCTGAAATATCACAGGGCACTAGGTTTTTCTTGTTTGGTTGCGTTCACTCCACTTGGTAGGCCAAGAAAAGTGACTTGTGTTTTGGAAGGGTGGTTAGCAGTGGTCATTAGCATAGGTATTGCTCTTTCATTCAGTTCTTGATTGATGGGCAATTTAAATTCCCTATAGTCTAGGAATGGATTTAGAAAAGGGCTTATGGACCTGTCTATTGCCATGAAGAAGCACTTTAGATCAGACAGGAGGTCTTGTTCTGCTCATCAGATTGTAGATCCAGTTGTGGAATAGTTCTGAAAGTGAGGATTAGGTGATTCTTACTTCGGTGTAGCCAGTCTTAACAGAATTTATTTTATTTGAAGATGTGTTGTGCTTCCTGACAGTGCCAAGTAACTGAATTCAACTTCAATGCTATTTTCCTGTGCTTCAGTTGCAAGCAGAGGCACCAAGGCTAGCAGAATACCAAGCATATATTGAGTTTGAGATGAAAATTGGCGATCCCGCCCGCATTCAGTTGATCTTCGAGCGTGCCCTGGTTGAGAACTGCCTTGTCCCAGACTTGTGGATCCGTTACAGTCAGTACCTAGTAAGATAACTGTTTTGATTTTATTTTTTTCTTACTAACTTTTAGAATCTATTTAAAGGAAATAATAACAATGCCAGAGGTTAGTTGCATGCTGCCCCTTCCTACTTTCTCTCGCTTTCCCTTCTTCCTCCTTTTTTCCTCTTTGCCGTCTCGCTTAGGAAGTTCTCCTAGTACTTTAAGTTATTTTAAACTGATCACTAACTGAAAAAAAAAAAAAAAAAAACTTGCTTATTGTCTTACTATTGAGGATTTGATAACAGATTGAATTTTTTTTTTTTAAAGATGACCAGTAAGGGGATCTTAACCCTTGACTTGGTGTTGTCAGCACCACGCTCTCCCAAGTGAGCTAACTGGCCATCCCTATATAGGGATCTGAACCCGTGGCCTTTGTGTCATTAGTACCACACTCCCAAGTGAGCCACGGGCCAGCCCTAACAGATTGATTTTTTATTTTAACTTTTTATTATGGAAAAAGTCTGAACATAAAGAGACTTCATGTAGCCATCACCCAGCTTCAACAGTTATCACCAGTTATGGCTCTAGTCAGTTTCACTTATGTCCTCACCCACTTCCCCCTTCTGTGTTATTTTGAAGCAAATCTAGAAATCATATTTCACTGGTAAGTATGTCAGTATGTACATATAAAAAGTATTCAGTATGAATGTATAAAAGACCCTTTTATGTATAGAAGGACTGAAATGAGGTCCATACGTTTAGAATTGGTTGATGTCTCTTAAGCCTATTTTAATCTATAGGTTCCCCCTCCACCTCACTTCTCCACTCCCCTTAGTGATTTCTTTATTGAAGAAACCAGGTCACAAGAGACTTTTTTTTTTTTTTTTTGTCTTTTTCCGTGTCCGGCAACGGATCGCAACCCTCAGTGTCGCTCCCGCGCCTCGCTCAGCCAGTGAGCGGGAACCGGTCCGTATGTGGGATCCGAACCCTCGGGCGGGAGCCCCGCCGCGCTTCCCAGGCGGCGCACTATCCAGTGCGCCACCGGGCCGGCCCCCACAAGAGACATTTTAAAGGAAACTTCTGTTGTCGGTTGGTTGTGCTGGCAATATCTTATTGATGGTGAAATCTTACCAATAATATTTTACGTTCTAATTCTGGAATTCTTTATCATAGGACCGGCAGCTGAAAGTAAAGGATTTGGTTTTATCCGTACATAACCGTGCTGTTAGAAACTGTCCCTGGACAGTTGCCCTATGGAGTCGCTACCTCTTGGCCATGGAGAGACATGGAGTTGATCATCGAGTGATTTCTGGTGCGGATGTTTTTGTGGGAAGATTTCTAAGCTTTTTGTCCCAAGTGTGAAATACAGAGCTGTGATAAAGCCATTAAATCAGCATTTCCCAGGGTTTTCTTTGGGATATTGAGGATTAATGCCTAAAGGGCTCTAAGCGGGAGATAAACTGGTTGCATTTTTGGCTTCTTAGGCCTTTTAAACATGCTAATATATATTGTGATTTTCTAAGAAGCTGTAGTCTTTTCTCCAAAGTTAGTTTACCTGTTGCTCTCACTGCAGGGCATCTTGTGGAGTGAATCCTTTCTGGAACACAGTTTGTGCAGTGCTGTAGTAGCTTCTCTTTTGAACATTTCTCTCTAGCCCACTTCACTTCATTGCATTCTATTATTATTTTTTTAAAGTCATATAGTGTTATATAGTCAATAGAGTTTGATAATTTTATATTAGCTTCTTTTTGAGTTAGCAACAAATCCTGACTCTTTCTCCAATTCTAGGAACCTTTGAGAAAGCTTTGAATGCTGGCTTCATCCAGGCCACTGATTATGTGGAGATTTGGCAGGCGTACCTTGATTATCTGAGGAGAAGGGTTGATTTCAAACAAGGTATTTAAGTACATGTGTTTCATCTCAGAACTGAACTTTTTCTTATACCATTTTTTGGTGGGATGGCCAAGTTCCCCAAATACATTGTGATTGGGCAAATGATGTAGACCAGCCACTGGTAACTTTCCCCCCTAGAAATTTTAGCAATTTATATCTTTAGCAAGTAATGCCGTGGACTATGAAGGAAGAGAGTAATGGTTCTTATTTTATGCTGGTGTCTGTCAGCTTCTTTAATCTCATCTCACACATCTCCCTTCTCTCTCCTTTATATATCCTAAAGAGTTCGTTAAATAAGACTATCGTGTTTCTTTTAAGTCTTTGAACCCTTGCAGGATCCTCTGCCCTCCTTGCCCTGCTTCCCCCAGAAAAAGCCTAACTTGTACTTGCATGTGCATGTCAGCTGTTACCCCACACAGGCAGCCTGCAGTTACTCTGCTGTAGTTTGTGTCACCCTGGCTGCGGGAGACCCCCCTCCACTGTGGTCCCACACACTGCACCCTGTGTTCAGCTTTGTCATTGTGCTGTTCATCCTGTACTCGATTTTGTCAGCTTTTTTTTTTTTTTTTTTAAAAGATGACCGGTAAGGGGATCTTAACCCTTGACTTGGTGTTGTCAGCACCACGCTCAGCCAGTGAGCAAACTGGCCATCCCTATATGGGATCCGAACCCGGGGCCTTGGTGTTATCAGCACCGCACTCTCCTGAGTGAGCCACGGGCCGGCCCCCTGTACTCGGTTTTGGTTTTCTTTCTCCCCCACTATGTGATGAGGACAGGCACTGGCAATTTTATTTCTGTGTCATCTGCACGATGCCAGGTAGATAATGGGTTTCCAGGCAGTTTGCTGTAGGATTTTTTTTAAAAAAAGACATGCTCTGTGGTTTTATAAAGTCTTTTTTTGCAATTTCCAACAGACTCCAGTAAAGAGCTTGAAGAATTGAGGTCCACATTCACTCGTGCTTTGGAGTATCTGAAGCAGGAGGTTGAAGAGCGTAAGTATAGCCCTAACCTACTGCTTTACCCAGTTGTATTTCCTGTTCTTTTCAGTCAAAGGCTGTGTGTGTCTGAATTACTTTCTAATTTTGACTAATTCCATTCTTGAAGGTTTCAATGAGAGTGGAGATCCAAGCTGCATGATCATGCAAAACTGGGCTAGGATCGAGGTAAATGCTTTTGACAAATCTTTTCAGTTTCATCCGCCTTTGAAGGACCTTTGTTTAACAGTGTCCTATTAAACATTCATTAAAATTGAGTCAGAATCCCAGGTAATGGTCTAGGCTTTGCAAGGATTTGTGTTATTTACCTAACTTGATGTACATTTGTTTCCGTCTTGGTGAAAATATTAGCTCCAAGCTAGAAGTTGAGCAACAAATGCCTGAATGCCAGGGCTTTGCTTGCTAACTTCTTCCATGCCGCACTCCTTGCTTCAGTCATGAATACATACCGAGCGTGCATTTCTGCTGGCACTCAGCTAAGTGCTGGGGGAGTCAGAAAGATACGTCCCTGTGCTAGTAAGGCTTTACTTTAATCTAGGATAGGAGATAGACAATTTGACAAATAATTAGAGGATAGAATAAGTTGAATGTCATTACTGGGCAAGGGACATCAAGTGAGTAAGACATGGGACCCACCCTTGCTCAGCTAATAGAATTGTAAAATTCTAATCATGATTTATCCTTTGTGGGAGAGTTAGATCGAAGAAATTAACATTTGTCAGGTAGTCTCTTATGGGGTGTTTGTATTGTGACCATTTTACAGATGAGGAAACTGAGGCTCAGAGAGGTTAAGTAATCTGCCCAAGTCAGTTTGCAAGCAGCAGAGCTGGCATTTAGTGCTAAATAAGTTTATCTTTCTCTCCATTGCCTCTCAAACACTTGGATTTAAGCTTGATAAAGACTATCTAGTACTGTTGAGTGAGTGTGTGGGCTGCTGCCCTCTGTTCATAAGAAGGGTAGGCAGACAATTTGAGGCTTGTCACTGCTGAAAGGCTGAAGTGTTTGGGCTGGGCTTGTTACCACTGGAGGGAGGTGTGGGGAATGTCCAAGGATTTATGTTACACCAACAGGGGCTTTTTTTGCATGTCTCTTTGAAGTGTGTTTTGTGTTGGGTGTTGATGTCATAAGGTTTGGGTCCTTTCCTGTCTGAGCCTGCTAATGCATTTTAGGCTCGACTGTGCAATAACATGCAGAAAGCTCGAGAACTCTGGGATAGCATCATGACCAAAGGAAACGCCAAGTATGCCAACATGTGGCTTGAGTATTACAACCTGGAAAGGTAACCGACCTGGAGGTGGGGAGGGAGGTGGGTTTGTCAGGTATACACCTGTCTTCAGTCCTGGCTCACTCCTGCCAGCCTGGGCTTGTTCCTTAGAACTGGGCTACCTTCCTTCATTCTGTCTCATTCATGAGTGGATGCATTTTTATTGGGTAGGGCTGGAGAACCAAACATAGTATTTTGTGCCTGGGACTCTTATGACTATACGTTTTTTGTTTTGTTTTGTTTTGATATTTGGACATGAATGTTTCATTTGACTTTTGGAGCTATTTATTTTTTGTTATATTTGCTTTTATAGAAAATACTAAAAAGCAAAGAGAAAACTGAAATTACTTGGAATCACTGACCTAGACATAACTGCTGTTGGTTAACGTTTTGGGGTATATTCTTAGAGGCTTTTATGCTTAAAATTTTTTTTAATGAAAATGCAATTATACTGTACATGTTATAAGTAATCTTTAAAACTATTTGAATTAAATAACATATATGACAAAATATTTATAACATAGGGAAGATATAAAGAATATGACCAGCTTTTTTACTTAATATATCTTGAACATTGTACATCAATAAATATATTTGTACACTATCTTTTATCTTTTTTGAATACTTTTTCTCCTACTTAAAAAATAATGCATATTCAAACGAAAAGAGAACATTTACAAAAATGTGTGATAGAAAGTGCCAGTTTCTTATAATCCCACCCCCAGAGATAACCGCAATTAAAGTTTGTTGAATATTCCTCTAGATCAGTGGTTCTTTTTGATCTCAGGACCCCTTATACTCTTACAATTTGAAGAGCCCAAACAGCTTTTGTTTTTGTGGATTATATCTATTAATATTTATCATATTAGAAAATAAAACTGAGGAATTGAAAAATATTTTTATTCATTTAAAAATCACAATAAATTAATTACATTTAACATAAATAGCATAGGTTGTGGAAAAATGACTATATTTTCCAAACCCCAAAATAATTTAGTGAGAAAAGATGGCATGGTTTTATATTTTTGCAAATATCTTTAGTCTGGCTTAATGGAAGAGAGCTGAATTCTCATGTCTGCTTCTACATTCAGTCTGTTGTGATGTGTTGCTTTCATTGAAGAGTATGAAGAAAACTTGGCTTCCCACAGATAAGAGGTTAGAAAAGAAAGGGATATTTTAATAGTCTTTTCAGATAATTGTAGATGTTCTTCTTTCAAACCACAGCAAAACTCAACAAGCGATAGTTTCTTAAACGTCAGTTACAGCGTGGAATCTGAAGCCACATTAATGAATTTTTCCTGTTCTCTTATGTTAATATCCATTTGTCTGTTTTACACTTTGAATGGAGTTTTTACTTTTTACACGGTGCCATAATTCTTTGACAACATTCGTAGTTCATTTGGAAAATCCTGATTCACTAAGTCATGCAGCATTTCCAGGTGTTGACACAGTTCATTCCATAGTAAAAAAAAAAAAAAAAAATCATATTTGCTCAAATCTGCAATAATCTTAGTAGAAAAGTCTTTTAAGTAGGATGCTGTCAAACTCACAGTGGCAGATACAGGTTTTCCAAAATTCTAAGTTTTCACTTGAAAGCTTGAATTTTATCACTTGCAACAAATAATGTCAGTGGTTTTCCTTGAAGTGGCAGACTCACTTCATTAATGTTTGAAAATGTCTGCCAAATACCCAGGTCTTAGTAACCATAGTTTGTCACTCACCTGTTCTTTCAAATAAAAATGGTGTTCCATGAAACAGTGACTAGTTCATTTTGTAACTCAAACAATAACATACATTTCTCTTCAATAACGTGCAACAGCCGTTGTACTTGGGCATGCGGAAGAAGTGCTTTGTATGTACTTCCTATTTCATCATGCAGAAGACTAAAAAGATGTGCACTGCTTTGGTCGTGCTAAGGGCCACCATTGCTTTTGCATTGTCCTTGCAAATGTCAACACATTTAAAAAGTTCAATAATATTTTAGTATTATTAGGAAAGGAGTTTTGACTTTGCAAACCTCCTGAGAGGGTCTCGGAGACCCTTAGGGGTACACGAATCGTACTTTGACAACCACTGCTCTTGAGTTTTTTCTGAGTATCCTAATAGGTACTTACAATATTTATATATATTTACAAGTTTTTAAAAACAAAAGTGAGAACACACTGTTTCATAACTGCTGTGACTTTTTAAAATAAAAAAAAAAATTTTTTTTTTTTTTTTTTTAAAGATGACCGGTAAGGGGATCTTAACCCTTGACTTGGTGTTGTCAGCACCACGCTCAGCCAGTGAGCGAACCGGCCATCCCTATATGGGATCCGAACCCTTGGCCTTGGTGTTATCAGCACCACACTCTCCCGAGTGAGCCACGGGCCGGCCCTAAAATAAAAATTTTTATTTAAACATTGATTGTACATATTTATATGGGGTTACATTTCTATATTTGTATACCGTATTCGGTCTATTCAGGGTAATTAGCACATTCACCATTGCAGAGCTTAATCATTTCTTTGTGATGTGTGCATTTGATCTCTTCTAGTTGTTTGATAACATGCAGTAAATCATTGTTAGTTATAGATTCCTGGGTTGACTACACAACAACAGGGCTTATTTTTCCTATCTAGCTGTAATTTTATGTCCATTAACCAGCCTCTTACTATTCCCCTTCTCCCCTCCCCTTTCCTGCCTCTAGTAACCACAGATTAATAGAATTGTTTTATACCTGTTGTGATTAGCAGTATAACTTTCCATGTCAGTACAAAAAGATTTGCCTCTAGTCATGAAATTTGACAGTCCCTGAGAAATTAGTGATTTCCCCCTTGAGTAGAGTTTCTCTGGGGGCTTTATCAAGTCACATAGTTGTTGGCCCATCCCCACCGCCTGACCCCCAACATGTTGTACACGCCAGTGCTGTAAAGACAGAAAACCTGGGTGCAGACCCCTGTCCTGGGTGCATTTCTCAGTAGCACCTACCTGGCTAAGGGATCGAGTGGTTTAGACAAAGCCTTCCCTTGTGATTGTAGAGACTCTTGGAAGAAGGAGAAAACATTGTGGGAGTTCTGAAAGCTGGGGTCTCCTCAGAAGCCAGAGTCGTTGGAGAGCTTCTGCCTGTGAAAAGACAGCCCCTCCATTCATGCGCCTTCCACTTTGTGTTCTGGTGGCAGCAACTCTTTGTTTTCTGCCCTAGGGCACATGGTGACACCCAGCACTGCCGGAAGGCTCTGCACCGGGCCGTCCAGTGCACCAGTGACTACCCAGAGCATGTCTGTGAAGTGTTGCTCACCATGGAGAGGACAGAAGGTAGGACCCTCAGCTCTGTGCTTCTGGCTTGGAGTCTGACCCATTTGCCATTTGGTTGCAAGTAGGAGCATCTGATTACTGTCTGTGAGGACAGACCACTCCTGAAGTGGCATTCGATGATTAGACTGTCCTGCATGCTCATCAGTGACAGTGAGTCCTCCTGCAGCTCTTCTACCAGGAGGCCTCACTGTGAGGTAGTTCCAGCACAGGGGGTCTCATGATTCTTTGTGGTAGGGACTGTGTATCATATGACATTTAGCACAGCTCTGGCCTCTACCTACTGGATGCCAGTATTGACCCTCCCTGCCCCAACCAAACATGTCTCCAGCATTGCCAAATGTCCTTTGGTGGGAAAGACTCACACTGACCCCCACCTGCACTCCCACCAGTTGAGAACCACTGCTCTAGCACAGTGTCTGCGCAGTGAAGAAAATCAGAGAGGCAAGCAGCTCAGTGTGCTCTTTGGTTATGTGGGCATCCCTGGTGGAATTTCAGAGCCTTCAGTGTAAAGCTGTAGAAATAGAACTAGTACGGAAACAGTGTGCATTTATCCATGGGCACTGGTCTGGATTTTGGGTGTGAACCCCTCACAAATGGGAATCAAACACCTAAACAACAACAAAATAAGAAAAAATAGCTTAACATTTAAGTAGCTCTTAAAATTCTTAAGTCTTTTTTCTTTTTTTTTTTTTTTCGTGTCTGGCAACGGATCGCAACCCTCAGTGTCGCGCCCGTACCGGACCGGAACCGGCAACGGGATCGCAACCCTCGGTGTTGCGCCCGCACCTCGCTCAGCCAGTGAGCGGGAACCGGTCTGTATGTGGGATCCGAACCCTCGGCGGGAGTGCCGTCGCGCTCCTAAGCGGCGCACTGTAGCAGTGCGCCACCGGGCCGGCCCAAAAATTCTTAAGTCTTAATATAAATGTCCCGTTACCTTTTGCATTAAAATGTTTTTATAGTCTTTGGCATTGAGAGCCCATAATAGATCATATTCTGGTTTTCAGGTCTTTTTTCTGAGAGAAGGGACATTTCAAACACATTTAGAAAGGCTATTTGAATTCTAAACTGCAAGCCTACATTTTAAATTTTCTTAAAATGGGGAGTTGATTCTCCATTTCTTATTTCTGATAGGAGAGATTTCTTTTGGAGGTGTAGAGAAAATAAGAAAATTTTTTATTATATCTTTGGAAAATGTAAAGAGTGAAAGTTTTGCTTCTCTTTCTATTAAGGTACTTTAGAAGATTGGGATATAGCTGTTCAGAAAACTGAAACTCGTTTAGCTCGTGTGAATGAGCAGAGAATGAAGGTAATGATGTTTATTTGAAGTCTTCGGAACCTCTGGTGGCTATTTTCGTTCTGTTTGGTATGGATATTTTTTGTCAAACCTTTTAGGTCTTCCTAAGAAGTGTGTTTTACCCAGAAAATATTAATTATAAAATATTTGAATCAATATTTAAACCTTTGTTGCATGATCTTTTCAGACTGGTTTAAAACTTTGGCCCCAACCATTTTCATTTAGTGGGTGAATTTGAGCCCTAAAATTTACTGGAATAGATGAAAAAGAATAAAAAAGAGTTTCACTTAGCTTAGTGAGTGGAACATGAACACCCCGACTTACTTAGGGTCCCAGTTTTATGGATTTTTTTACTCCCTTTTAGTGAATGTGGTTGAGGATATTGCTAAACATACTGTAGACTTGGGATTCAGAATGCTAAGAGGTCTGACTAAGCCCCAGTATTGGGAATGTTGTGAGCATCTTCTCTTCTTTCTTGTGGTCTCTTCTATCATTTGGGAAATGAATTTCCATTCTCTCGCCCTTTTTATCTCTTATCACAAGTCAGTACGGTTAATGTAACTGCTACATCCAGTGATGACCATATTCCCAATTTTCTAGGCTGCAGAGAAGGAAGCAGCCCTTCTGCAGCAAGAAGAAGAAAAGGCTGAACAACGGAAGAAGGCCCGGGCTGAGAAGAAAGCATTGAAAAAGAAGAAAAAGACCAGAGATGCAGACAAAAGCAAAGCAGACGAGGACGATGAGAAAGAGTGGGGCGATGATGAAGAAGGTAAGAAGCGGTTTAGAAATCTTACTTTGAAACATTTCAGATTTACAAAGAAGTTGTAAAAACAGTACAAAGAACTTTTTTTCTCAACCATTTGTGGGTAGTTGCTAGCATTATGCCCATCACCCTTTGATTACTTTGGGGCGTATGTTTTGCAAAGAAGGGTATTCTCCATGAACACGATCCAGCCATCAAGGTCAGGATTAGCACTGGTCCATTACTACCAGGTAACCTGCAGACCCCATTTGTGGTCTGCCATTTCTCCCTATAACATCCTTCGTAGTAGAAGGATCCAGTTCAGGATCAGATGTTATGTTTAGTTGTCCTGTATGTCTCTTGAGTCTACTTCAGTCTGGAACATTCCTCAGTCTTTCTTTGACTCTCATGACCTGGACACTGTTGAAGGGGACAGGCTAGTTACTTTGTAAAATGTCTTTCAGTTTGGGTTTGTCTGATTCCCCCTCATGATTAAATTCAGGTCTAATCATGTGCATCTTTGGCAGGAATAGCACACGAGTGGTGCTGTGTCCTTGTTGAGTCCTGTCACGGGGCATGCGATTTCCTTTTGTTCCATTACTGGTGATGGTCACTGTGGTCACATGACTAAGGTGGTGCCTATCTGGCTTCTCCACTGTGAAATTACTCTTTTTCCCTTCATAATTAAGTATTTCGACGGTTATTTACCTAGTACTTTGAGAATAGTAAATATACTGAATATACTGTTCTTCATCAAACATCAAAATTATTCATCTGTTTATATCATGTGGATTCATGGGTTCCTACTTTCTTCAGTAGTTATAATATGTTGTTATAATTATTTATGTCGATGCTCTACTTATCCCAGATTTGTTTAGCAGAAGTCCCTTCAGACAGGCTATTGTGTCCCTTTGACGTGTCCCAATTCTTTGATCCCTTCTTACTTGCCGGCACTCAATACCACATAGTCATCTTGCACTTTCTGTAACTTGGCTCTAGAGTCAACCATTTCTCCAAGGTGCTTTTGAGTGGCAAGTGGCACTTAGAAGGTTCTGGGTGTGCCCACTGCTGTTTTTGTTGCTTCCGACCCTGAGTGATCAGAGCTAGGCAGTGTGAGTGTATGCACATGCACACAGAAACACACATTTACAACCATATGTACTTCTGTAACTATCTGTGTATATTGAAAACCATGATTTCACACTGACACATCCAATTCCAGTCTAATACTGCAGGGTTCATCATGGTTTTCTCCCTTTCACACTTGCAGCAGCCTTCTCTGACACTGAGAAACCTGGCTCCCATTATCCTCAGCATGTCCACTTATTTCATCAGTCCTCTGTGTACATGTAGCCAACTTCCTGTCCTTGCCTCCCCTCCTTGTGGGTGCCCTGCACGGATCCACTCTGGCTCCATACTGTACACCAGGCCATCACCACTTGCCCATCCAGTCTGGCTATATACCCTACACTGGGCCATCACCACCACGGCCCTCCTGCATGGTGCCCTCCTCTCCCTACTTGGGCTCCCATACTCCACGCTGGGTCCCTGTCATTGCCCCATGTGTGCACAGCCCCTTCCTCCCACTCAGGCTTCAGTCTCCTGCACCACTGTTGCAGCCCCCACCCTACACAGACACCTGCCTTGCCCGGCCCTACTTAACCGTTTTGACTTGGTAGAATTTTCCAGCCAGTGTTACTATCGCCTGTGTAATTTCAGGGGTGGGAAGGTATGGGTCAGATTTATTTCAGCAAAGTCAGTCAAAGTAAAGAATTGTCTCTAGACATTAGCAGACCCTGTATTTTCCTAGCACAGATGTGTCAGCTGGACAGAACTGGTAGTGGAGTTGTCATTCAATTGATGTTTCTTGTGCACCTTGTTTGGGCCTTCAGAAATGACTGAGGGTAGCTCACTCCCTTAGAGCTCTCAGTTTAATGGGATAAGGTGACTGTGACGTGATTGCAGTGACGTGTGATCAGGGCTGTGGGAGATGTAGGTGTAACTTGTGGAGGTTAGAGAAGACACTCATGGGTCGGCTTCCTGCCAGAAACACTTTGTGGGGGAGGCGATGCGTCATCCAGTGGGGAGAGTGAGTGGCTGTCAAGTGGAAAAGAAGGCAAGGGGTAGCTAGACAGAGAGCCATGTTAGCAAAACACCAGGGCACAGAGCAGCCTGGCATTTTCTTTGAGCAGCAAATAATTGGGTTTGAGCTCAGATGCAGGGCAGAGGGACAGGTGCAGCGGTCAAGGAGGCTGGGCAGTGGGTGGGTCAGGCGGGCGGGCCCAGCCCAAGGGCGCACTTGAATGCTGTGCTCAGGGCTGAGACGCTGATGGGAGGGCAGTGGGGGCATTGGTGGGAAGGTTTGGGAACAGGAGGCTGATGTCAGTGGCGCTTCAGTCCTGGCTTTCTGGAGGCAGTGGTGAGGGCGGTTGCAGTATAATGTTGATGCTGAGCTCGCATGGGCGCAAGACAGCATCAAAATGTTTTAGAAAATACGGACCTTTTGTGCTGCCTTCCAAAGTGTGGCCTGTGGAGCACGTATATCAGTCTCTTGGGGTGCTTATTTCAGATTCCCAGGTCCCATTCCACCCTTGCCAACCTGGGTTTTGTAGGAGAGGGGCCCTGGGATTTGTTGCCTGATGTGTCAGACTCTCTGACCTTTTGTATAATTAAGAGTGTTATGCTGTCACTTCCACTTGATTTAGCCCACTTACTCGAATCTAAATGGGGCCCAGAAAGTCATGAGGCAGGTCCAGAGGGGCACAAGAGACTTCCCGGGGCCATGGTGTTTGCCCCTCCACATTTGGCAAGATTAGTGTTTATTGCATGTAGCTGTTACAGATTAGCCGTTTTTGAAGAGCACTCTCACTTCGCACCTCCATTTAAAGCTCACCAAAGAGAAGAAACAGTTAACCGTTGCTGCTTTTCTTTTGAAAACCTGTAGAGCAGCCTGCAAAACGCAGAAGAATGGAGAACAACATCCCTCCAGCTGCAGAAGCACAAGACATGGAAGTGGAAACAGGGCTCACTGGGAGATGTGTTCCTGTGGATGTTGACCCCCCACCCAAGCAGAAGGAGAAGGCAGCCTCCTTGAAGAGGGATGTGCCCAAGGTGCCTCATGACAGCAGTAAGGACAGCATCACCGTCTTTGTCAGCAACCTGCCCTACAGCATGGGGGAGCCAGATGTCAAGCTCAGGCCTCTCTTTGAGACCTGTGGGGAGGTAGTCGAGATCCGCCCCATCTTCAGCAACCGTGGGGATTTCCGAGGCTACTGCTACGTGGAGTTTAAAGAAGAGAAGTCGGCCCTCCAGGCCCTGGAGTTGGACCGCAAGAGTGTAGAAGGGAGGCCAATGTTTGTTTCCCCCTGTGTGGATAAGAGCAAAAACCCTGATTTTAAGGTATGTTTATAGAAAAAAGAACACCTTTCACATGAGGTTTCCTTAAACTAAACACTTCTTTCTTGCAGCACTAATGTTTAGAATATATACAGAATTTTTATACTATACTAGCAGCTAAACTTCCACGTGAACCAAGGTCCGTTCTGATCCGGTTGACTGAGGTCTGATTCGTGGTTTGGTCACGAGAGCTTGCATTAGTTGACTTGGTAATGATAATAAAATTAGCAGTTGTGATAATGGCTACTTCTTGTTGAGTGCTTAGTAGTGACATGAGACTGTACTAACCTTTCAAATATTACCTTAATGAATCCTTACCCAAACTGCGAATGGCCACTTTTATTCTTGCCATTTTACAGAGGAGGAAGTGGAGGCCTAGAGAAGTTAAGTGACTCGCCCTGGGTGGTCCTGTTAGTAAGTCTCAGAGGCTGCATTTGGTCTGGTTTGCCTGGCTGCGCATGCTGCTCTGAAGGGGCAGGAGCAACTGAAGTGAATTGCTCTGGGTCATGCCTGCAGTCATGGGTTTTCTCCCCCTTCTTCCTGTAGGTGTTCAGGTACAGCACTGCCCTGGAGAAACACAAGCTGTTCATCTCGGGCCTGCCTTTCTCCTGCACTAAAGAGGAACTAGAAGAAATTTGTAAGGCTCATGGCACTGTGAAGGATCTCAGGCTGGTCACTAACCGGGCTGGCAAACCAAAGGTCAGTGTTGGAGTTGGAGTGGGCACAGCTCCTGGTCCTGAGGCTTGGGAGGACCTGTTTCTACAGCTGTTCATAGATTATTTAGTTCTACTGTGGGTTTCTAGTTCATCTGCTAAGAAACAAACAGTTCAATGGAAAGATAAGCACACTTGGATCTACTTCCACTTGGATTCAGATTAACCTGTTTGTAGCTAATCATACTAAAAAAGAATAAGGCATTTGGAAAATAAATTGTCATGGATTTGCTGGGGCCACACAGTGTGGACCCCTTGCTGGGGGCTGTGGGGGGGCAACATTGTGACCACAGGTGCATGGGGCCTTGGGGTGGGGTACCTCCTCTGCAGCTGCCTCCTGCCGTCCCCAGATCCTCTTTTCACTGGGCCTGTAGCCAGTCCTCTTATCACATCTTCCCCTCTTGTTGCCCCCTCTAGTCTCTTGTTAAGTCCTTTTTGCAGCACATTTTGAGCAGTGTTGTTTTAAGTATGATTTTGGATGACTCTACCCATCCTCCACTCTCCCGTTTATCCAGGGAAATCGAGAGTGGAAGTGTATGGAATAAGGGAGGGGCCGAAGGCTCATTGACATTAGGGCTCACCTGGGCTGCTCACTGTGTCCACGCTACCTCCTCAGTTTGCGGGATTTATACTGGTCCACTTGTCTGTTTCATTCTTTCTTTTTCTTCTGGAGCAAGCACAAGTGTACTGAACTTAGGTTATCTGAAGTTAGAATCAATAACAGAAACAGGAAAGAAGAGTAGGGAAGGGGAAATAAAGCTGCAGACAGGATGGCAGTGGTGGGGAAGGTGACCTGTTGATGGGTGACTGCTCTGCACTGCTCTGCTGGTTTTCCTGAGGAAGCCAGGCCACCTAACCAACATGAGGACATTGCATCCTGGGTCTTGTGGCATCTGACCTGGTCTGGATCTTGCCTCTTTCAGGGTCTGGCCTATGTGGAGTATGAAAATGAATCCCAGGCATCGCAGGCTGTAATGAAGATGGATGGCATGACTATCAAAGAGAATGTCATCAAAGTGGCAATCAGCAATCCCCCTCAGAGGAAAGTTCCAGAGAAGTCAGAGACAAGGAAAGTACCAGGTGGCCCCATGGTGCCACGACAGATGTATGGAGCGTAAGTGTTTCATGCTGGCCCTGCACAGACTGTGTCCTGCCAGCACTAGTTCATGAACCATGAAGGGATAAACCAGGGCCGAATTAGTTTTCTTATTAGTACAATGAATTCAGACAAAAAGCCCAAGCCTGCTGTTCCTTGTGATGATCACTGTGGTTCCACTGGAGGAGGGTGTCCACAGTAAGTACAAGAAGTGGGACCTTGCCTGGTGTTTGCCCGTTTACACTTGTCATCTATTTAAGGGAAGATTTTTTTTTTTCCCTTTTTTTGTCTTTTTTCCTGACCGGTAACGGGATCGCAACCCTCGGTGTCACGCCCGTACCGGGGACCGGCAACGGGATCGCAACCCTCGGTGTTGCGCCCGCACCGCGCTCAGCCAGTGAGCGGGAACTGGTCTCCACGTGGGATCTGAACCCTCGGCGGGAGCGCCGCCACGCTCCCAAGCGGCGCACTCTCCAGTGCACCACCGGGCCGGCCCTAAGGGAAGATTTTTAAAGGCAGTGATGGAAGTCCCCTTTGCACGTTGAATCTGTGTGTTTAAAACAAAACCTTGCCAGTCTATGGCCCTAGCTATAATCCATAGGAAAGCTATGCTTTTTGCTTCCTAGGGATGAGAGAGCAAAATCGCAAGGTTATTTGGCTAGGTCTGAAAAATGACAGTTATTTTTATCCACACCCTTAGTGTGCCTGTTGCGTAGGGGTGGTCCTTGCCCAAGTTGTGAATAAGGCAATTTTTCTTGAAGTGGTTTTTACTTAATAGCCAGGATTAAAGAGAACAGGGATTGTCTAATTCTTGTTTTTTATTTTTTATCTTTTAACTTTGGGTAATTTAAAATTACCCTTTCTTATTTTCACAATTAAATCAGGGGCCACGAATTGTTGCTTTCAAAGGGGACATTCAGTGTTTGCTCTTCCAGGCGTGGGAAGGGACGCACCCAGCTCTCCCTGCTGCCTCGTGCCCTGCAGCGCCCGAGCACCGCAGCTTCTCAGGCCGAGAATGGCCCGGCCCCACGTCCAGCGGTTGCTGCCTCAGCGGCCACCGAGGCACCCAAGATGTCCAATGCCGACTTTGCCAAGTTGCTTCTGCGAAAGTGAATGAGACTGAGAGAGATGGGAAATGCCTTACTTGATGCTGGCCTGGCAGACCACCCGCCACACGGTGGCACCCGGGTACGGAAGGGCGGTGTAGCGCCCACTCGCTACCACAGATTTTCCTCCAGTTTAGACAGAACAGGAAAGGGGGTTTTACGTGGAGAGGCTTTCAGTGCTCCCTCATATTGAGGGCAATAGGAGGAAAACAGTCACTCCACAGGTTGGGCCCCAGGTGTGATGTCCTGAGATGCTTTTGTGGCTTGAAGAGTGAGGAACAGGAGAAACTGGAACACACAGTTCTAGGGACCCATTTGTCCAGATGTTTTTGGCCAGCTCTGGCCCCTTTTTATAAGACACTTCTGTTACACCTTGTACAGCACATGTGCCCGTCACTCTTTTTAATTTTTAAAAGACGAAATGGCAGATGCTAGTAATTCACCAGAATGGCCTATTTAGTAAAGGGGTGGGGATGGGGGAAGTCACATAAAAAACATTTGGTGAATTTTTGTTCAAGGGGGCTGTGCATTTTTATATTATGTATTTGTAAATGACACGTCAACCTGTTTTATGTTTTGTAAAAGCATAATATTCACATTTGTTTTATATAAGAATTCTGTGTGCCACCTGCTGTGGACCATTTTTTTTTGCCTAATGACTAGTGAACTGTGTTCTTTGTTTAAACATTTGAGTTTCAGCCCTTTGGTTTTGTTTAAATACCATGTCAACTGCAAACTTAAATTCTCCCCATTTAGCTTTGTTTATTAAACTGAAGTTTTCTTGAAAACTTCTTGCCGAATGGTACTCAGATGTGCATTCACATATGGTTGTATTTTGAAATGGGTGTACCTTGCTTTACCTAATAGATGTGTAAATAGAACTTTTGTAAGTCAAATCCTGCTGTCACTTTGGTTTAAATTATTTCAGCTGTGATGTGTCTTTAGTTTTAAACTTCGGCTTACAGCAATTTGACACTATAGCTTTTAAGCTTTTTTGCCTCTCATCTGTTATCAAATATTTACTGCTTTGAAAGCAGTACTGCCAGTTCAGGAGGGGAAACTTACTTAATGAAGGCAATCTGGAGAAAAACATCAAGGAATCCTTTTATATATAATGGGAATCAGTTCCTCATTTATCTGTTTTGTTAGTTTAAGTTTTTGTGCATGAATCAGGCTTTCCTACATTTTCTTAACATTTTTTAATGGAAAATTTTAAACAGATAAAAAAGTACAGTAAAATAAACTCCTGCGTGCCTATTGAGCTTCGAGCATTCCTCAGCTCACAGCCATCTCCTTCATTTCTCTCTGCCCCATCTTTCTTCCCTCTTCTGTTATATTGAGGCTCATCCATTAATATTGTAGCATGTGTCTCTAAAACATAAGGACTTAAAGGACATAGTTTTCTCATCACTCCTGGAAACATTAGTGATAATACCTTAATGTCATTGACTATCCAAATTTCAAATTTCCCATTGTCTAATAAATGTTGGTTTTCCCTGTAAATTATCATTGGTTGATAAGCTTCTTAAGTCTTTTAAAATGTAAGTTCCCCTCTTTCTATTTTACACAAAACATTTTCTACTCGGCATTACTTCTGAATTAAGTTCAAGCAGCAGAGTCGGCAGCAGTGAGAACCTTTGCTGTAACACTGGTTCTTCCTGTGCTGTTCTCTGTGATGGCTGCTTTGAAGACTGTTCAGTTGGTGAGATGATTTGGGTAGCTTAGAGTGAGCCCTGCTGGCCAGAGACCTGACACTCAAAGACCCATGAGCATTTCCTCACACTTCTGGTTACTGTGGTTTTACATTTTGCTGCTTCACATGAACTGTTTGGTTCTCTTGCTCATGGCCAATACTCTGACCTTACTTTGTACTCCCAAATATCAACTTTCAGTCTTATCGTAGGGGTGAACTTTCCAGACTTGAGCAGGACCTGATTTAGGTTCATGGTGTTGACTATTCTGACATGGATTTCCAGGAATGTGTGTCTAAGTCGGTTTATCTATTTTCCCCAGAAAGTCAAGAACTGATGGTGAAAAAGAACCATGAAAAGCCATTTCAGTTACCTGAGTCAGTGAAAAATCAGTAGTTTTTCTCTATTTACCTAGGTTGGCCGTTTATCCAAGTAGTTCTGTCTTATTTGCTTGTTGAAACTATCATCTTGGATCTCTTCTCCCAGAACGGTATGAAGAATAGGGCTAAGGTTCAGAATCCCACTCCCCCATCTTTATGACAAATGGGAACCTCTCTTGAATAAGACAGCAAAGTCTCAGATGTTTATGTGATAAAATACTTTATTACAATCAGTAATTTGTTAAAATAATATCCTTCACATATAGCTAAAGTGCAAATTCTCTCACTCTATAGTACAAAGCAAGCGCTTCTGTCAGACTTCCTTGGTATGCTTATAAAACCCAAACAATAGAAGAGTTAAGGTTTAAGAAATACCTTATGGCAGCATAAAAGTATGGAACATTTTTTATAAAGGTTTGAATAACTCATTTGAAGCCATGTCATACATCTTTTCACTTATTTTTCTTAACCTTTCAGAAAACTCTGAATGTGCTATTTATACTATTGAATAAGTGTATGAACATTTGCTACATCAGAGTAGTGACCTCATTACTGTGAGGAACTTAATCTTCAAATCAAAGAGACAACACTTTGTGTATGAGTATGCTCACCCTCATTCAAATACTGACAAAGTGCCCGTTCTAAGCATCACGGGCTCTGGCACTGGCAAAGGAACCTAAGGATTTCTGGCCATTCTCACTCTACATAGCAGCAGTCCTGTTGGCACTTGTGCCATGTATGACTGAAAGAGAAGATTCTACTCATAAGATGATGACTTGGAAACTTGGCTGTATTACATGTAACATTGTATTGTTTTACAAGGTGCTAGAAAAATAAGGCTACTCTGATGCAATCTCTTCTGCCTCCCCAGGGGAGCAGGACAGTACAGTGGCTGTGGGAAGTAGGGGTTGGGACAGGAGGTGGATGAAACTGCATAACAAAAGGGACACAACACACCCTGGCTGTGGTCAAAGGTTTTTACTTGGTTCAGGAGAGACTGGTGCTCTAATTCATTTTCAGAAATGTTTGGTTGGTGTTGATGTGGCATCTGTTTTCTCAGATGTTCTTTAACACCCACCTACAGAAAACTCAGGAGGGGGTGAGGACAGACTTGCCCACTTGCATACTACTCGGTTTGCAGCATGATGCAGTTGCTGGGTGACAAACCCAGAGACCTTTTACACAAAAAGAAACACCTGATCTGAGTTGTGGCAAATGAACAGCGAGAGAAATGTTGACACACAAAAAACCAGACTGTCCACCCCTCTATCCTTAATTAGAAAAATGGTTTTGATAAAGAAAAAGTAATAGCTTCTGGCACTAAAGTTTGCAAACTATGGCTCAGAGTATTTCTACAAATAAGCAAGATATCTTACTAGAAATGTCAACATTCATTTCATCTCTCAAAGCTTTGCTCTGTCAGTCAAAGTCACACACTAATCTCTTTGTAGGGGAGCAAAAACCTCTGAGAAAGCAAGCTTTCAATCGTTTCTCAAAACTGGGATGAGAAACCCAGACCAGGTTTTCCCCAGGAGTGCTGACTTCCCATTTAAAGTCAGAACCTTTCAGCCAGTTTCAGAGAAAGACTTGGTGGCTCTGGGCATTATCCCATAGCTCCTGGCCTCTCTGCCTCACCTTAGTGCAAATTCTGCTCCAGAACCTGTGTTCTGGTCACACAGGAGCACTGATGCCCCTAAAGCATGCTGGCACCACCATCTGAACAGTGGCACCAGCATGGACACAGCAGACACCACACATTTACTAGCTTGCTCAAAAGAAGAAAATAAATAACTTGGCTGAAATATAAATTATCTTAGAGACAAGGCTCAATAATTTAGTTTTTTTCTTTTTTTAACTAAAACAAAAACATTTGGAGGTAAAGAATGTTTAAGGTCACCTTTAGCTTTGGGAGATGACTAGGTTTCCAGAAATACTAAGTTCCTTTGATTCCCCCTCCGCCTCCCCTGTCACCAAGGGAGATTTTATAAGGTTAGGGCTTCACAGGAAGCGTCTCTTTGAAGCCAGAATGGTTGGGTTTGGCTTCTGGCAGCGCCACCGAGTACTCAGTTGTGGCAAAAAGCAGGGTGTCCAGGGTGGTCTCAGTACACTTGGCGATGAAGCGAATGAACGGCCTCACGTCGCCTTCATTGGCGACTTCCAACACGTGGTAATACTCGGATCTCTGCTCCTTGCGGATGGTGATAGGCGGGTAGCCTGCCTGCATCAGGATGAGGTTCATCAGCAGGCGAGACGTCCTTCCATTGCCGTCAATGAAGGGATGGATGTAAACGAGTTTATAATGGGCCAAGGCTGCAAACTCAACTGGGTGCAGGTTCATGGCGTCCTCAGAGTTGAGCCACTGCACAAACTCTTGCATCTGCTTTTCCACATCCTGAGGATGGGGAGGGATGTGGTGTCCGACCAGGACCTGTGTCATCCGAAACCTGCCGGCTTCTACGGGATCCACATACCCCAGCACCCGCCTGTGGATCTCCAACACGTCGCTGATGGTGACGGAGCCTATGCGGGAGACCAGGGTTGTGTTGATGTACTTCATGGCCGCATGCATGCCGATGACCTCGTTCTGCTCCTCCAGGCTTTTCCCTGGCACGGCGTAGCGGGTCTCCAGGATGTGCCTGATCTCCGACAGGGTGAGAGTGTTGCCCTCAATCGCGACCGTGTGGTAGATGTGATGGTAGTACGTCTCCTCCATGACCCTGCGCAGCGCAGAGTTGCCCTTGGGGATGGACATGACCTTTTTCACTTTGCTGTCGATGATACTGAAATACCTCTGGTCGATCTCCTCCACGAGCGGCAGCGTCCGGTCGCGGTTGACCAGCGCTTTCTCGTGGGAGGGAGAGATGGTCAGAGCTCTGGTGTACAAGTAATCGGCCTGGATGATGTCCTTGTCTTCTTCCGAGAAGATGCCAAACTCATTGAGTGCATCGACGAAGTCTGGGTCCATCTTGAGGGCATGCAAGAAGAGCTTGTGAGCTTTCTCCCGCTTGCCCTGGCGCTTCATTTCCAGGGCTTGGTTCAATGCTGCTTTGGCTTCCGACTTACCTGCTAGAAGACAGCCAAAGAAGCTTTGTCACGGGCAGGGTGTGGCAAAGGCTATGCTGGGGAGCTGTCACCTGGGCAGGTCTCCTGGGGGAATCCCTGGCCTTAGGGGGCTCGTTCCAGCCACACTGTATGTGCTCAACATGCCCAGTACCACTCTGTTCCTCACGGCCCCATGGAGTGGCATGCTGGTCACCATCTGTTTGTCCCTAGAGCCTGGGCTCCCTTGCCCCCTGACTTCTAACTGGGCATGGAAAGGTCTGGGCATTGATGAGGGTACTCCAAAAAGTTAATGGAAAGACTCATATTATCTTTTATTTCTATTTTTCCACAAACTTCTTGAAGTACTCTCCTCCCCCACCCTCCATGCTGTGCTGCTGTCCTGATGGCTGTCTTCCTCTGTGGCCGCTGCTCCCTACAGGTGGCCCTCTCCTGCATCTTCTCCAGGTTGTCCCATTCCGGTGATGGTGGTCCCTGCTCCCTCCTTCAGGCCTAGGGTGTTAATGGCTCCCCCCTTGTGCTAGTCCTTGGGGACTTCACCATTCCTAGATTGTTCTTTCATTTTTTTTAACCCAGCGGTTCAATTTTGCTGCCAGGGGACATGCGGCAATGTCTGGAGACATGTTTAAATGTTACCACTGGGAGGTGAGGGACATCTTGTGGGTGGAGGCCAGGGATGTTGCTCAGCATGGACAGAGCACAGGACAGCACCCACCACAGCAGCCTCTCAGGAGGAGGTGGGGAGAGCCTGCTCTGGATCTAGCCCTCCTTTCCAGCTCCATCTGGACCAGCTGAGTGTCAGCCACACACACTCAACTTCGAGTTACTCGAATGCCCCAGGGCTGTCTCTTCCCTCTGGTCTCTGCCAGAGCACTATTCCCCTCAGGCCCTTCTCCTTGGATCACTTCTACTTACAGTTGGGTCTCAGCCCAGGCAGCACTTGCTCCAGGGAGACTTCCCGGTACGCTCCTACAGCCCTCTGTGCTTCCCCATCACCACTCTTGTGAAGCTTTGTTTTGGTCACCTGTCAGCTTGTCTAGGCTGGGACCTCAGGGCTGACTGTACTACCTGAGCCCTGCACACAGGACACACCAGGCACCCTATAAATATCTGTCGAATTAACAAACGTTGAGGGTTGATGGCCAGTCTCTCTTACCTGGAGAGGCTTTGGTCTTGACCACCAGCAGTGCCACATCCCTGGAGGTGACACTGAGCTCTGTGGACGGGCTGGTGCACTTGGTGACGGCATGCTGTGCCCTGTGCAATGTGCTTCTGAGCAGGTAGAAGCCTTTGAGCATGGCCAGGCACTGTTCCTCCATGGCCCCCAGTGGCAGCAACAGAGCCAGTAGGGACCCCAGCACCATGCTCAGCAGTGTCACCCACAGGAGGCGACCCCAGACCGAGACCCATTTTGGTTCTGTCACTGCCATCACCGAAGCCATCGGCATTAGTGTCATCTGGACTCAGGGGTGGGCCCCTTGCACATGTCCACAGTTAACAGAGAGAGCAGGATCTGCAAGGAACCAAGAGTTGCAGATGAGGCAGGCCATGGAACGTTTAGGGTACAGTGTGACTTCAGCTGGGAAGACGGCCTTGGAGAACCCCCACACCTTGAATTCACTAGAGACCAGGGAGTGGGGGCAAAGCAAGGAGTGGATGTAACTGGGGGAGGAGCCAGCCTGGGAGCTGGGAGGATTGGTGCCACTACCAGGGCAGTGAGACTGTGAAAAGTAATGCTGCCACTGCCCAACATTTATTGAACACTTACTATGTGCTAGGCCCAGGGCTAAGCACTAAGCCCCTCTCATGTATTATCTCCCACAATCTTCAACAGTAACCTGAGGAGGTATTGTTATCACCCCTCTCTCCAAATGAGGAAACTGAGGCTCAGAGAGGTGAAGTCCTTTGCTCAAAGTTGCCCAGTAAGTAAATGACAGTCTTAGGACTTGAACTCAGGAGCTCCATGGCTCGCTCTAGTGTCCCCTCTTTACCACAAATTTCTGTGGCCTCTGACACTGGGTGTTCAGGGCACAAATGAGACAGACACACCCACACACCCACCCACCCACCCACCCCTGCCATGGCAGTTCTGAGGTCCATTTTTTGATAAGTACAACTGTTTGGAGGCCTAATGTATTGCCACATGGGTGGCCACTTCTAACTACCCTCACCCTGATATTCAGCCACAACGCCCAGAATGCCATTCCCCTCTCTAGCCTTCTTTTCCTGGCCTGTCCAGCAGGGGTCCCACCGAGGGGCTGAGCATCCCAAGCATCTCAGGAAGCATTCAGGCTGTGGGCCAGAGTGGGTGACAGCTTGATCTCAATGACAACAGGCGGCAGGTGCTTGGGGACACAGTGGGAGTGGAGGGGCCAGGTATGCATGTACCATTATGCTAACAATAAGCATTTATTGGGCAACTACGGTGTGCTAGGCACTGAGCTGAGGGCTAGCCATGCAGCACCTCATTTAATCCTCACTCCACCCTATGAAGGAAGAGCCACCCCTAGCTCCATTTCAGAGAGAAACTAAGAGACAGAGAGCGAAGTTAAATTCCAGAAGACCCACAGGGGGTAAACAGAGGCATCAGGAATGATACCCCAGTGCATCTGAGTCAAGAGTCCTCAGGTTCTCACCTATACCGCAAGGCCTGTGCACCTGCTCTGGGCTGCTCCTGACCCAGAAATGACTGATTAGGTTTCTGGTCGCTCAGGGCTTAGAGTCTAATGGAGCAGCCCAGCTCGTTGCCACAGAACGTCTGAAATGACACCCTTATGGGGGTACGGGAGGCTGTGGGTGACTGCTTCGTCCAGGTGGTCTGGGCGGGCTTCCCGAGTCAGGCTCCTCGACGGGGCTGCAAAGGCAAGGAGGGTCCGTCGCTGCCAGGGGTGAGTGCGGGGGAAGGAGTGCGTTCCGGGAGGTGCGAGTCTCTCACCCCTCATTTCCCTAGAAAGGGGGAAACTGAGGCCCCAGAGGCGAGGAAACTGTTCTAAGGTCACTCTGCGGAGCCGCCCCTTTTCAAACCGCGCCCAAGGCTCCCGCCCCCGCCGCACCCTCCCCGGCTCGCTGCTCCCGAGCCCCTCGGGCTTGCCCCCTCCTCACCGCGCGCGGCCGAAGAGCCCTCCCGACGCCTTCCCCCCGCTCGCAGATACCACGGCCGCCGGCTCCCGGGACCTCCTCAGCCGCCGGCCTTCTGGCCCCACCCTCAGCGACTCGCCATTGGACGGTCCGCCGCCCTCGTCGCGGCGGATTGGCTTTTCCCGCTTGTCCGTCCCTCGCATTTCCGGGTTTTCTCGTCTGCGTCTGCTTCCCCGGGAAAGACGCGCCGTGGGCCACTCCCATTGGCTGTCTCTTGAGCCGATCTCGTGGCTGTAGTAACCAATAAGCAACCGGAGAGGCGGGCCCTAGGCTGCAGGCCGGAGGAGCGGGTGCGGAAAATGCGGCGCGTGGGATGGATTTGGGGCGCGGTAGGTGGCGGGCGGGAAACTCGCATTTCCACCTTCCTGGTACTGCTGTCCTTCCTCAGGTCTTCTCAACCCGGGGCCGCTCTCGTGTGCATCTCCTGGGGTGTAAAATGAGGCTGCTGATGGTTTTTGCCTTTCCACCCTGCTAATATTGACTTCACAGCCCGTTAGCCTCCGCCCTGTGGTGCCGGGTTTGCCTTTTCCCTTCTGTCCTCCTCTCTGTCTCTTTTCCTCCCTAACTTTTTAATTCGCACCCTCTCGAGAAGGGCCCGGCGGGTTCTTTTGGCTTCCCAGAGGGATAAAAGATTTTTTTCTTGAAGCAGAGAGCTGAAACCTCCATCTTAATCCCCCAATACTGAAATTAAACATTTAGGGACGTGCTCCAGAAACACTAAGCATTAGGATGTTAGCAGTGCGAAATTCTTGAGTCAGAGACACCTGGGCTCAAATTCAGACTTTGCTATTTACTGTCTGTGTGACCTTGAGCAAGTTACTCAGAGCCTCAGTTTCCCCATCTGTAAAATGACGACAAACAGCCTACCTCGCTTTTGCCCTCAAGTTCGGGATTCACAGAAGGTTTCATGCTTCAAAATCTGAATTCCTCCATAATGCCTACTCCCCTTGGAGGCAGTACCAGGAGGTGGTTGGGGGTGGTTGTGGGTGTCACTGTTGGAGCCACACAGCCCCAAGTTCAAATCCCAGCTCTGCCACTTGCAAACTGAATTACGTTCAGCAGGTGACCTGATCACGCTGATCCCCTGTTTGCTTTTCTCTAAGTCAGGGATCATATGATGGCAGCACCTACCCATAGGGTTTTGTATGAGGGCAAAGTGAGATCCTATGTGTTGGCGCAGAGCAAATGCTTGATAAGTATCAGCCGTTGCGATTATTTCTAGAAAATACACCAAGTCATTGCTGCTTTGTTATCCACAGAAGAAAGTGCCAGAGCTGTGAGTTGCTCCAACTACTGGGGAGAAACCCATGGCACCTTGTGTAGGTCTCATTCTGATTCCAGTTCAGGGAAACTGTTGACCCACAGAACAAAACAAGTGTCCAAGCCCAGGCCAGAGTTGGGACTAATGACCAGAGGCATGCTGTCACGAAGGACACCATGGGGGACATAGCAAGGTGAGGGACCAAACAGCTTTGGCCTTTACCTGTTGGGCTCCCTGTTTATATTTTGTAACTGGCCCCCATTTTCCTCCACTCCCAGCCCTCAGCATGGAGTGTGACGCTTAGCTGATGCTCAAGAAATTTTTGACTTGAATTGAGTATGGAGTACCTGGAGCAGGACAAACCGTAGAGTTTTTAAGAAGCAAAATCAGGATGGTGGCTATTTTGGCAGCTTCTTGTTTCTAATCTTTTGAACAAAGGTCTTGAATATTGTTCTCTCAGAGTCTTTGGAATTTCATTTCTGATGGCCCAAGTAGTAATGTCATTGTAAAACCCTTCCCCAGAGGGGCCTGCCGTGCAACAGTTTATGGGAGACAGTTATAGTAGAAGACAGCAGGTCCCACCACTCACTAGCTGGGTGACCTTGAGCAGGCTACTTCCCCTCACTGAGCTGGGTACCACTGGGCTTGTGGATTCTGTCACACCCAGGCATAAACTGATGTAATCACCAGCCTATAAGGGCAGCCTCCTCTCTCTATTCTTTCTTAGGACACAGTGTAAACTCTTTAATGAGCTTAGGCCGCGGGTAGCAAATCCAGAAGCTACACAGGAGTCACTAATGAGTAAGACTGTGTCTTAGTCTGTTTTCTGTTGCTGATAACAGAATAGCTGAAACTGGGTAATTTGTAAAGTAACAGAATTTATTTCTTACAGTTTTGGAGTCTGGGAAGCCCACGGTCCAGGGGGTGCATCTGGTGAGGGCCTTCTTTGTGGGAAGTCTACAGAGTCCCATGGCAATGCAGACAGTCACATGGCGAGAGGGCAAGAGCATTTGAATGTGCCCACTTGCTCTCTTTATAAAGCCAGGAGTGCCACTCCCTGATAACCACTAAACCATTAACCCGTGAACGGATTAATCCATTCATGAGGACAGAGTCCTCATGATCCAGTCACCTCCCAAAGGTCCCACCTTCCAAAATACCATAGTCTGATTTCCCACCCTCTTAACACTTATGAGGATCAAGCTTCAATGAGTTTTGGAGTGACATTCAGCCCACAGCAAATTGCCTGGGTGTATTCAATAGGGAGAGGTGGGGAGTGTGGCACATTTGAGAACACATGCCTTGTCCAAAGTGGGCAGCAGCTTCTTAGCTGTAGCCCACGTTTATTATGCTAGGATGCAGTCTGAAAGTTGACAGATTTTTCCAATTGTTCAAAAGAAATGTCAGTTCTAGATTTTTAAGCAAAATCTCCAGATTTTTAAACAGTTGGCATGTCTGCCTGCCGGCTACAGAGGGCTGCCAGATTGTAATCTCTGTTTTAGGCTTTTAAGATGGGCAGGGGAAGGTGGCAGGGAACACAGTGAAGAAACACCATAAATGACTCTCTCAGCAAATGATCCCGCCACTGTTTGTGAACACTAGGGGGCAGTATTCACCTGGCATCGCTTCCTGCATTCAATCCCCTTGTCAGGCGATTACACTCAATTTTCTTTCTCGACATTGTCTGCATTCCGCTGTGTTGAATGCACAAAATATGGTCCCTGAAGCGACATTGAAAAGTTGGCTTTCTTCATCTTAAGCATTCTGTATTAGGTGGAAATTGCCTTCCTGTGGCCCACGGAGGAGTTTTCTAAAAGATTACCTCGACACATGACAAAGAACCTGGAAAGTGGCTGCATGGGAAATGTGTCCATTATGCAAAAGAAAAGAAAACAAAACAAACCCTCTGCATCTTTAAGGAACAGTAGTCAAGCGCTTCTTGCAGGCAGTCAGATTCTATTGCTTAGGAAAAACGAAACTCCCCATCTTGAGGCTATATTGTGTTGGGCTGTCTCCAGAATGACTCAACTTCATTGAAACGAAAACACATCACACCTGTTTTTGCCTACTCACTGCCGGGTTTCTCTCCTCCTCCTGTCTGCCTGGGTTTTTTTTTTTTTTTCTCCTTCTAAGCTAATGCTGCTGCAGAAGAGACCCCCAGCAGCCTTTCTCCAGGCTATCGATCAGTCCTAATTACACATACCCAGT